CGATGCCATAAAATGGAAGACTTTGAAGGAATTTACGAAGCAACAGTTGTATTATTTGATTTTCTGAAGACAGCAATTTGAATGAAACGCTCGTGCTTGCTCGTCATAAAGCCAGGTTGTCTAAGTCTATTTGGTTAAGCCTATTAATTTCGATTGAGGAGTCAATAAACTAATGTCATTTGAGTTGAACACTCACGACTGGCTACTATGATACTTTTCATTGAGCTGCCAATTATGAAATGAGACCAGCATTTTACGTGAACATGATTAATGATTTTTTCGTGCCTTAAGGTAACCCTCGTGCTATTGATAGAAGAAACCAGAGAAGTAGTGAATAGGTCTTTATTTCGATCTTCGCGCAGTCACAGTGGAGCGTGGGATTATCTGTTCAGACAAACAAAGGCTCTCAACATTCAAGATAATAGGGAATATAACGCTTATGAAAAATAAGGAAGTGAATGAATACTTGAACAATACTGTTTTGGCATAAGCTTGGTTGTTTGGGGTCAACTCTTAACCAACCAACCTGAGCTGTTACATTAGCTTCCCCCTAGAATCGACTTCCGTAGGAACGTCGGTTCGATTAACCTATCTATCGAAAACACCTTAGTTCTATTTCTCATCCCAAGGGAAAATTATCAACTCGCTCACTATTCGACTTACAATCAGTGACGACTAACGCTGTCAACGACAGTCCATGGATGTCTCCTCATTTACTAGCTTGTCATCTTATTTTGTAGCATGTGATCTATTCTACAACTATCGCTGACGGTTTACTGCGTGCTTTCAAGAGAAAGAGTGTGAGAATGTGGAATAAGAATATCTGAGGAAGTGCCGCGTTTCTCAGGCCGAATGGCATGCGTACAAACTCGAATAAGCCAAAGGGTGTAGTAATAGCTGTCTTGGGAATATCTTCATCAGCCACCGGGATATTGTGATATGCCCTGACTAAGTCAATTTTAGTGAATATGTTCATACCCTGTAAACCGTTGGTGAAATCTTGGATATGAGGTATTGGGTACCTATCTGGTACGGTTTGACGGTTGAGGGCTCTGTAATCCCCGCACGGTCGCCAGTCACCTTCATTCTTCTTTGGGACCACACGCAACGGGGATGCCCATTGACTATCAGAGGGACGGATGATACCCAGTTGTAGCATATAATCAAACTCGGCCCTAGCGATTTTGAGCTTATCTGGTGCTAGTCTCCTGGGTTTTGCAAACACCGGTGCACCTTCGGTTTTGATAGTGTGACTCACTTTTAGTTTGTCCTTAGAAGGCTGTGGGTTTGGTTTAGTTAAGTTTGGAAATTCCGCGAGTATATCTTGGAATTTCGCTGTTGTTACTGGGGGAGTTTGAATCAAGTTAAGAGAGTTGACGTGACTTTCTTTGCCTTTTGTGTAATACGAAGTTTCTTTTAGTGTTAATCGCCGTTTCTTGGTGTCAACTAGAAATTCGTATCTCTCTAGAAAGTCCATCCCCAGTATTGCCAGATCTAGGTCGGCTACCGTGAAAACCCAAGGGAATTGCCTCCATGAACCCCAAATCTAGGGTTAAAGTTTTCTGCCCAAATGTCGCAATTTTAGTTTTATTTGCAGCTTGAAGTGTAACTGATGATGTTTCTCGACTAATCTCAGTTTTATTTCGAGGGATGATGCTAAGAGCAGCGCCAGTATCCACCAAGAAATTCAAGCCCGAGTTTCTGTCTCTAACATAAAACAAGCGACTGTTTAGGCGCCCCTCCTCAGTCGTCGCGACCTGGGGAGGGGTTACTCGTTTCCCGCTGTCTTAGAATTATGCTTAGGCCAGGCACATGGTTGCATGCACTTGGTTGAGTTGACACCAAACTTCCAGTGGTACCAACAAAACTGCCCAGATTGTCTGGACATTTGTGACCTGTTTTGTGACTTGGATCGTGGTCGTTGTGGTGACCTGCTCCTGTTTCTATGACCCATTTGCATTCTGGTGACAGCCTCAGTGAGACTCTTAACACTCGCAATGAGTCCTTCTAATACGGGGTCTTTTGCTGATTCTACTTTTTGTGTGTGATTTATTGTGCCTGATCCAGTTGGAGGACCTCTTTCCATTATTCTGTCGGCTATACGCGCTAAATGAGATAATGAGGTTTCAGGATCCTGTGCATCCAAACAGTGTTGGACGTAGCATGGGAGAGCTTGTATCCATCCTTGTTTTAGGACTGCTTCACCCACTGTGTTATCACCCACTAAGACTTGGAGGTGACGTAAAAACTGTGACGGCGACCGATCACCTAGTGTTTCACCTTGAAAAAGTCTTTGGATTCTTTGACTATCTGATAATGATAAACGGTTCATTATCTCTCGTCTTAAGATGGTGTATGGTTGTGGTGATGGTGGACTTAAAATCAAGTCACGGACTTCTTTGGCGACTGAAGGAGGAAGGATAGAACACAAGTCTCTATAGCGAATCCCTTCAGATTTGATATTGTGTCTCGTGAAATAATGCTCTAGTTGAGCAAACCACAACTCAGGATCACTACGATCAAATTCTGGAAGTCGGGATTTCGTAGTCATAACAGTGTCTATCTCCACTGGTGACAAATCCTCCAGATTATGGGTTTCTATTGAGTCTGACATGAGGTATGTGACAAATATAGCAATAAAGTTAGCACAAAAAGTGGTTACTATAACACGAATAACTTAAGATAATACGGAATAAACTAGTTATATACTCAAATTAGTTTACGGATAATCAGGTCTACTTTTACGAGTAAGTAAGAAAAAATGTTAATAACAGAAATGAGGTTAAATTTGTGTTCAAAAAGGGCTCACCAGTTTCGTGCCTTAAGGTAACCCTCGTGCTATTGATAGAAGAAACCAGAGAAGTAGTGAATAGGTCTTTATTTCGATCTTCGCGCAGTCACAGTGGAGCGTGGGATTATCTGTTCAGACAAACAAAGGCTCTCAACATTCAAGATAATAGGGAATATAACGCTTATGAAAAATAAGGAAGTGAATGAATACTTGAACAATACTGTTTTGGCATAAGCTTGGTTGTTTGGGGTCAACTCTTAACCAACCAACCTGAGCTGTTACAATTTCACTGATCCTTTTTGTCAAAGATCAGCTTTTTGTTTCCGTGATGTTTTCCAGCGCTTTGAAGTATTTTTCGCGCTGTTCTATCTGGGAGCTCATTGAATAGTTTTAGTGGCCTATATAAAGCATTGTTGCGGTGGACCCGCAAGCTCTTTTCTAGCCTATGGTAGAATGTAGTGTGGCGATTGCAACAAGCAACTTTACAACAAGAGCACCGGAATCATACCAGCTGCATATAATTGGAGTCGCAAGCCGCCATCATGTTGTTTGTGCAAACCTTTCAGTTCTACAAAGTCTCTACTGATTCCTGTGTTGATTTAGCCGTCAAACACAGCTAGAAGGATATCCTCAGATAAAGCCGGCGGCAGATGGACAGCTGTCAGATTTCTAGAAAGTAATGAGCGTCAATGTAAGTCCAGCTTTAGATCTGAAACTATCAAGTAGGACATCCATAACGTAGTGGATGATAAATACACTAATGTATGCACTATAAAAAGGGAAAAGTGTGCAAAGAAGAGGAAAATTACAGAGAGCCATAAGAATGTGAGTTGGCTGTTTCAGCTATAGAAACCCATATTACCTGTATTGACGCAAAACAGACTAAGCAGGAACAGAGTCAGAACACCATGGAGGATCTGATAAAGAAACAAACTGAAAATAACGATTGACTCAAACTAGCACTTACGATTTTAGGGAAAAATATTATGGTATGTACGGAGGTTACCAAATCCAATTTTATGAAGTTTGTGCTGATGATGTCGTTCAGAAGAACGATGAAAGCTCCACGAGCAAACCATCCAGCTCAGAGAACAAAAATCCACCAAAATCATCCACCTAGACTACAAATCCTCTCCATATTGATTGAGAACTGTTATAAACCAAAATCGCCCTACATTTATTCCAGCACATTGTAGGTCTCACCAGATATGACCTATAAAACTCTGTACTGGATTCGACCATCACCTACGGTGATGATGTCAGCCAAATGTTCTTATCATATTCAAGTCCATGAAAGGTATATTCAGTCAAGTAGCTGCTTCAGGCCGTCCTAACATATTCTAGGCAGTCATGAAGGCGATGAACTCTGCAACCTCGACCAAAAACTGGAAAATTGACTCAAATATGTCAGTAGTGGGGGAATAAGCTTAATTGTAACAAATGTACACTCAGGCAACTCGACGATTTATACTGTGGACAGTTCCAAAGAAATAAAAGCACGGTCATCCCTGAACAGGACTGGATACTCGATGATTACTAAGTCAAAAGGGAAGGCGTGGAATGTCATCATTAGCCTTGACACAGAACACGCAATGGAACGCTTAAGATTTGTCCGAAAAAAGTACACTAGGATAATCTGAGTAGTTTGGTGAAAATGTGAGAAGCGATTGGCACAATTTGTTATCGATCAGCCGAATAGATTGTTCCTGTCCATAAATTACGGAACAAGAGTTCATCATTGGATTCTCAACCAAGTTATGGGATGGGGGCATCTTAAATAACAAAAACGCCAAGGCAAGACAAAAGCCATAGTGGACTATTTCGGGACAGTATTCACTCAGGAGTCTCATCTAGACTAAGAACTAGATCCAAACACAAAGTCACAAGATCGATTGCTCGCTATAGACTTTGATCGAGACGGCAGACTAGAGGCTCTTTGCACCCGAAAATAGAAAATCAACAATTTCGGGTTTAAAAGATAGTACGCAAGTTGAAAGTGAACAAAATACATGTGACATACAGGTTTTCACAATATATTATCCAATCTTGGAACCTGTTCCTCGAAAAAGTAGTGCACGATCCATCAGTAGGCTCATTCACAAGAAGACTAAAGGCTCTCTCGGGCTTGTTGGGAAACGGCTTACACAATCCGTAGGCGTTTTGTCCTGAGAAGGGTTTATCGCTTGTTTTATAGTATGAAGTGACCGTCAAAGTGACCTTGAACGACTTAAATGTAATCTCGGTAGGCGAGTATATAACGTTGGGATAGAGGATCTATCATTTAGAGGGTAATTAAATTAATTCCACATGGTGATTCTAGACGTATTATAAACGTTATAAGTCAAATGTTGCGTTAAGTGGTGAGAACATAATATATGGAAGAACCAATCAGATTTAGAGTGACATGTCTTGGATTTTTTTACGGAATTCATCCACCCATTTGTTAAATAGCGTTTTGGAATTTTGACCAATGTGAGTTCGTGATGAAAGCCATAGAGTTAATGCGTGGACCTAATTATCGGCCGTAACTCATATTCCTTACTCTCCAAATAGTTTCATGACCTTCATTTAACCCTAGTAAGTAGGTGGACATTCCCGAGATCACCAAGACATCACTGAAAGGTTGTCCATAAATTTCGGTCTCACCCATCCCAACAAGTTCGGGTGGTTCTGCGTTTTTATTATCCATCGAAATCAAGTCACATGGTCTTTATAGCTGTTCAATTTATGTGCTGGTAGGTGTGTGAGCAAACAACCAATCTATCTCGAATTAGTTTCACCCATAACTTAATTCTCATACATAAAACCAGTTTTAAGTGTTACAACGGGTCACGCTACTACAAGGGAGGTCGCGTTACTGACAGCGACTAATACCGTTTTGGTTACTATCTCTGTGAAGTAGCACATACTTGTCCATGCTGTACTGATTCATACCGTTCCTTTTCTGCAGCACAATGATATAACTTGGCATTATTCTAAGCCTTCACTTTATTGCTTGAAAAATAATTGTTTCAACCACTAGGTTACTTAATACTTGCAATCTGAGAGAGAGTCAATTTTCAGGTCATATATGATGCATTCTCCGGAGACTTGTAAAAAGTGCACGTTATTCATCAAATAATTAGTGTTTACAAATGTTTCATCGTATTTCGGTACTCGAATAACATAGTTGTTTTGTATTTTGACCGTAACCAGATTTGAAGTGAATGGTTGACTTCAAAATAAAAAATATTGTGAATGTAAAACAATGTAAGTCTGGTAATTAAAGAGAATGTTTTTGTGAATTTCTTCGAAAACTGTAAATGGATGTTCTGTTTGTTCATCTTTATATTTATAGATGGACGAGTTGTCTATGTATAACCAACTACTATGTGTGGTTATAAAGTAGTTTCCAGCCTTCCTTTAAGTCGGACACTGCATCATTTACAGACTATCTCAACAATTTTCCCCATTATAGTATTCTGATACAGACCTGTTACAATGGGAATATTGAAATGTCACCAGGTCAAACTAATGGTTTTCATCTATTTCGTAAAATACAATATCTATGACTTTGTTACCGATTGTTAACAAAATAAAATGACATACATTTTCACATACGTCCATACTTTACAGGTTTTCTGTTTTGAATTTCCGAGAGGCACCTATTAAAAGTCCGAAAAATTGTCTGGTAATCTGCTCTAATTTAAAATGAGTTCAGACTGGAATTCGTTACCAGTCAAATTATCTAAAAGCATACTAAAAGCTATTGATGCATTAGGATTTAAAGAATCTCTGCCTGTTCAGGTAATCCTTTCATGTTTATTTTTAATATCGTTAGCAATATGTTATTCCCCTCCTATTAAATTCAAAAGATGTTGCAGCTGAGGCTATCACTGGTTCTGGGAAAACTTTGGCATTTGTTATCCCCGTTTTGGAGATATTATTAAAAAGAAAACGCCCATGGCAAATATATGAAGTAAAACATCATAAAATAAATCTTATACCAAATAGATTGGAGCTTTGATTCTATCTCCTACCTGTGAATTAGCAATTCAAATATATGAGATAGTGTTACACTTTATCAAATATGTCAATGCAAACTCCAAGTAAGTAATAAATCAATCTAATTATTTCATATTTTTACATATTGTTTATTTGTTACTTTTCTGAGGCCTAGATTTTACATTAAAAATAAATTTAAAATGTGGATATTACCCCCTCCCCCCAAAGTTCGATTGTTTAAGAATCTGTCATTCATTCATTTATGATTTTTACACCAACAAATGAGTGAAAACATAACATTAGTCCATTATGTCATTGATTGTTAGTCTGAGTTATGTTAGTAGATGCAGACTACCTACTTGTGATAACCAAGATCAGCCCCCAAATGCCCTGGTATGGCCGAGAGTGGGGTGGGCCTGCCCTCTCGAAATGCTCTCACACGGCCATGCGTATACAGCATCTGCCAGGGAAGTCCAGCTCACTGCCTTCTCACACCACGGGGATGTTGTTTACGAAAATGAGAGGACGGAAGGCGATTGTCCTGTGCTTTAACCGGATCCCAAACCAATGGTGCACATAGGCTCCAGTATCCTGAAGGAACAAAGAGAGTATGAACCAACTGTTAGTCACCGGCTACCATGAGACTGCATCTCCTCACGATGCTCTACTGCCTTGTGGATCAGACCTTTAGGTCAAAGGCTTGGAATGTGGTCTCCTAAGAAAACCATCTACTTCGATCTGGGCACTCAGGCAGTATCACAGCCCACACATAAACAGAATGAAACGACGATACTTACGGAAAATACTATTCTCGCTTCGATTAACAGTCAAACGATTCATATTATTATTATTATTATTATTATTATTATTATTATTATTATTATTATTATTTACTACATCACTTATTCACTCTCTTTTATTCCCATTTTGTGTATCCTTATTTTTCGACTTATACAGCAGCTCGCCTATGGTGGAAACTAGGTTCTATCTAAACGTTCTCGAGTCACTAACTGGTTGAAAATTGAATGCTACCACCAATTACGAATACTGAAGCAGTTTTTCTGAAACCACGTGCACCATTCAAACTGGCTGCATTCAATGCTCTGTGGTCAGTGTGTGACATGGTGTTGTGGCATGAAAGAAAGCTGCAAAGGCTGGCTTCTGTTCGTCCTTCACGACTCTCTGGCTGGGGTCCGAGAGATGGCAAACACAATGGCTAGAGACGTTATCAGATATGGCTCAGAATAGAAGCCAGTGGCGATCATGCTGTAACCTTCTTTTACTTTCTTCATAAAAAGTAGTTGTATTTTCATTAATTGAAAGAATCCCTCTGGTTGTGGCTTTCCGTTTCCCCCATTATTATTATTATTATTATTATTATTATTATTGTTATTATTATTATTATTATTACACTACCTTACGCCAATCTGTGGTCGTTATTGTCCTTTTTTTATTATGCGCTGCTTACCTTCTTTTTTCTCTTCTCATTCTCATTGTTTTGTGTGGTGCATATATATTTAGCGCCCCCTTGTACCAATATTAGTGTTCAAATAAATAAATAATAAATAAAGCACGGTCGGTTGTTAAAAGGCTATGGGTTTGGGCTTCAGTTCATGAACTAATCATTTCTCCTATCTTAGTCCCTTAAGTATTTTACCAACCTGTTTTCCCATTATAATTCAGAGATATACTAAAACGTTGCTTATTTTAGTAAAAGTTAGTGTCTTTGTAAGGAAGCTATCTTCAATTTTATAAAGCAGGTGTATTTTCGTATTAGCATGTTTTAAACAAAATTGAAAACGTTACATGAATAACTAAACCATTTACCTAAATTTCATAGTTCTATAGATTTTGTGAATGGATTATTATGTTCTTGTATATTTATCTAGTTGCGGAAAATTTCATTCTGAACTGTATCAATGTAATTATAGCTCTGTTGTTTTAACGTTCTGTTGAAAACTAAGTCATGAGTATAAAATGAACTTGGGATATCATTATATGAGTGGCCGTTATACATTAAATTGTTGTTAATCACATAGAACATTGTATTTTTACGCTGTAATAACTGTGTATAATAGAGCATGTATTCAGAATCTTATCCTTGTTGACATCATCTCTAATATCATATAATGACTCAATAATTTGATTCAGAAAAAAAGAAATCTGTGGAATAAAAAGATATAATATAATTTTGAAAATCAGTATCTAAGAGAAGATAAAGAGTAAATATATCTGTGCTATTTTAACTAATTCTAAGTCATATCATTCAGCGTCTCCAACTACTGATTGCGATAATCGTATTGACCCCGAACAGGTAGGACACATCTACTAACACGGCTCAATTCAATAATGACTGACTTTATGAACCGATGCTGTGTATGAGTTTACCTGCCTTTAATTTTTTTTTACAATATCTGTAGTTTTAGTTTATTATTAAAATGATCACAACTTAATGAATTGAAAGATTTCCAGACGGATTATTTTTCCTTGTTTACTAGTGAGTATAATTTCTCAGCGCTTGTCTTCACTAGTAGTGGACGTTCTAGTGGAGCTACAACAAAATTTCAAGACTTCAATAATTTTAAAGAAAAAGGTTCCACTATTCTTGTTGCTACACCTGGACGGTTAACTGATTTAATTTTGGCTGGTGCAATTGTTGACTATGGATTAGGTAATATGGCTAATCCTATTATCCGTGGACTTCGAAGTATGGTAGGTTACCTCCTGAAATTATTTCACTCAGTACATTGTTAATTATCCTCTATCTAGATTTCCAATTTAACTATTGTTTTTTTACTGTAACAGCATTCGAGTAAATAAAATTCTCTGTATGTGAAATAACTTCATACAACTTAATAATGGATCGTTAATGGATAACAAAATGCATCCAAATAAAAATGACAACTAAAGTACCAACTTATGCATGATATCTCTGATATATCTGACTATTCTGGACAAATCATATACTAACTCAAGATGAGGTACATTGTAAGTGAGGAATTATTCCTACTCCATCTATACTTATTTTTTTCGACTTATACAGCAGCTCGTCTATGGTGGAAATTCGACTGTATCTAAACGTTCTCGAGTCACTGTCCGGTTGAAAATTGTATGTTACCACCGAATACGAGGACTGAAGCAGTTTTTCTGAAACCACGTGCGCCATTCAAACTGGCTGCCTTCAACGTTCGCACACTTATGCAGCTTGGTCAACAGCACTAATCGATTGGATCCCCATTAACAGTCGGTTATGTGCTGTTAGATTAGAGAGTTCCATCAAAGTGAGAAGAAATCGGCGTGAGAAACGATGTCTCTTCGTCATTTCCGCCTATGCCCCGACAGATTGCAGCCCGGATGCAATCAAGGATGAGTTTTACCACCAGTTATCTGTTCTTCTCCAGAAAGTGCGTTCGACAGATATTGTAGTACTAGCCGGAGACTTGAATGCTCAGGTCGGGCGTCTAGGCACAGAAGAGGGTCGTTTAGGTGGCCGATGGGGACTTGTTAGTCGCAGGACAGATAACGGGGACCGTCTACTGCAACTTTGCACAGACCACAACCTGTTTCTGGCTAGCACTAACTTTCGGCACAGTCATCGCCGATGTGCCACCTGGCGTCCTCCCTTTGCATCTCAAGCCTGGACTCAGATTGATCACATCGCGATCAGCTACCGCTGGCGTGGTTGTGTAAAAGACTGCCGCTCCTTTTGGAGTACCTATCTGGACTCTGACCATGCCTTGGTCTGCGCCAATCTTGCCTTACTTTTCAGTGGACAACAAAGTGACCGCCACCAAAGGATTGATGTCAGCAAGTTGGTTGCAACTCCTGTTGCAAATAAGTATCGAACCGAGCTAGCCTCTATGCTAGCTACCATACCACCGAAAAGTGTAGATGAGCACTGGTTGCAATTGCATGACGCCATGAAAATGGCGGGAACAGTCAGTTGTGGGTTTGCGAAACGTCCCGCTTTTAAGCACTGGGTTTCTTCCGGTTCCTTACAACTCATTGAAGCCCGTCGGTCTACTCCGGGTGACCGTGAGTTTGACCACAAACGAAGGTTGTTACGTAGTGAAATTGGGCAAAGCTTGCGTAAGGACCGAGAAGCCTGGTGGTCGGAGCGTGCTAATGAGCTGGAAGCAGCAGCTGCATCTGGTAATTACCGGAAGCTCTCCCAACTCATCCGAGCCACTGGCAGCAAGAAGTCTGGTGTGAGTGAAACAATCTGTGAGGATGATGGGATGCCAATCACTAACACCCATCGACGTCTTGGACGATGGGCAGAATTTTTCGAAGAGCAGTTCAACTGGCCTGCTACTCCGGCAGCATCGGTCAGACTGTCCTTCCCTCCATGGCCGGTGACGACTGATCCACCAAATGAGGCGGAAGTCCGCAAGGAACTCCAACTCTTGAAGCGCTACAAATCACCTAGCCGAGATGACTTACCTCCGGCTCTTTTTAAAGATGGTGGTGACTTTTTGACTAAGGAACTGACGACGTTGTTTACAAAGGTCTGCGAACTAGAGAGTGTACCAACGTCATGGAATGAGTCGATAGTTGTCCCTATCTTTAAAAAGAGTTCACATCGTTCCTGTAACAATTATCGGGGGATAAGTCTACTTCTGATTGCGTCCAAGATATTGGCTTCCATCATACTTCGTAGGTTGTTCAAAACCCGAGAAAGATTGATTCGCGAGGAGCAGGCTGGGTTTCGTTCTGGTAGAGGATGTATTGATCATATCTTCACCCTCCGCCAAATGTTAGAACACCGTCATACTTTTCAAAGGCCAACAATCGTAGTGTTTCTTGACATCAGGGCTGCCTTCGATTCGTTGGACAGGACTGTTCTCTGGGATTGTCTATTGAAGAAGGGTGTGCCTGAGAAGTTTATTAATATCCTAAAAGCCCTGTATAAAAACACCTCAGGCAGAGTGAGGGCATACAACCACCTTTCTCCATTGTTCCATTCGAGCAGTGGGGTTAGGCAGGGTTGCCCAATCTCACCATTCCTCTTCAACTTTGCCATCGATGACATTCTGGAAACAGCTCTGATGAATGTAAGTAATAGTGGTGTGGATCTGTTGCCTGGAGAAAGACTTCTCGACCTTGAGTATGCGGACGATATTGTCTTACTGTGCGATAATGCCCAAGGCATGCAATCCGCACTTAATCAGTTGGCAATCAGTGTTCGTAGGTATGGTATGTGCTTTGCACCTTCGAAGTGCGAAGTACTTCTACAAGACTGGCAGGATTTCAATCCTGTACTCACCCTGGATAGTGAGCAGATAGAAGTAGTCGAGAAGTTCGTGTATCTGGGTAGCATCATAAGTGCTGGTGGGGGTGTGATTGATGAGAATAATTTTTATTTATTTATTTTTTTTATTATTAGAAGCTTTATTCAACATTATATTTTTGGTACAACATAGAATTCTCAGCATAAAGTATTTCAACAAGTTTCCTTTTCTTATACCTTGATCTATTGTGACGATAAATTTTGAATGATGACCGGTTAGATGTTAGGAGTTCGGTAATCCACATTTGATTAATGTTCATTCGTTTCAATGCATATTGCCAGCCACCATGATGTCGCTGATTGTACCTTTTTGTATCCCGTATAGCGAAAGGTTGTAAACTTTTCATAAACGCGCCTGAATAGATTGTGCGCACAATAGACATAATAATGTGCTAAAACAAACACCAAAACAGATAACTTGATGAAATTTCTAGATCGGAGGAACAGGTAGTCCAGATATTCAAGCAGACCGCATATAGTGAAAGCCAGAGCGGCTTATGCCAATCTGGACCATCTTTGGCGCCATCTGGACGTTAGCTGACTCTCTGTGTTCGATCATCGTTGTCTCCGAAGGATTGCTGACATCCAGTGGCAACACCATGTTAGTAATGCAGAGGTTCGGCATCGTGTGTTCGGGCACAGAGACGATAATCCAATTGGTGTCACCATCTTGAAACACCGACTTCGGTGGCTTGGACATGTTCTACGATTGTCGTCCCAGAGAATTCCACGTCGTGCATTATTTGCCGACTCTGGGACTGGTTGGAGAAAGCGGAGAGGTGGTCAGTATATGACATGGTGTCGTGGTATGAAAGAAAGCTGCAAAGGACTGGCTTGTGTTGGTCCTTCACGACTCCCTGATTGGGGTCTGAGAGATGGTGCTACACAGTGGCTAGAGACGTTATCAGATATGGCTCAGAATAGAAGCCAGTGGCGATCCTGCTGTAACCTTCTTTTACTTTCTTCATAAAACGTAGTTGTATCTTCCTTAACTGAATGATTTCTTCTGATTGTAATCTTCTGTTCCCGTACTATTACTATTATTATTACACTACCTTACACCAATCTCTGCGTTATTGTTTTTTTAAAATATTTTTTTACGTTCCCCACTTTTTTCTTTTTCTTCTTCTTAACTTCTCATTGTTTTGTGTGGCGCCTAGGAAGTTGGTGCTTCTCAGGAAATTCGACTTTATCAATGACGTCAATCTTTAGTTATTCAACAGTCGATTATCAATCTGAAAGAAACGATTTAGTAATCCAGGTGACAAAATATAGCCGTCTATCTTAATGATTTAATTATTCAACTTTCTCTTAAACAACTTTCAAAGCTCACTATATATTTGAGAAATCAGATAGTTGTATTTAGTTGACGATAAGCACTGTTCAAAGCTTAGTACATATAACCCTGTGATTCATTGCTGAGTTACATCATTTATGCCTTACATTAAAAAAATTAAAACACCAATGAGTATTGTGTTAAATATGCATTCATTCGTTTACTAGATAATGAATTTATATCATTTTTCTTGTCGAATAAGTGTACTTTATCTTGTTTATAAATCAGCTTGTGCCAAATATAAGTGAATATACTATGAAAAGCAATGTCATTATATTATGCTACTGTTATAGAGATTTCTCACATTTCTTTACTTTCCTGTCTTTTTTTTTCTCCTTCAAAATAGGAGGTTTTGATACTTGATGAAGCTGATCGTCTTCTAGAAATGGGATTTGAATCACAGTAATTATTTTATTTTAATCACAAGTTTATTGATTACATTTCATACATATTCAGTTGCTGGGTCACATATTTTCGCATCAATTCTATGCCTACAATTGAGTGATCATTGATTACTGACGGAATTTCATGTTTGTCTAGTTCTTTAGTTGAAATCATGACCGGATCTTATCTAAATCACTACTGAAAGCTGAAAGCAATAAGTGACTGTTTCGTCCTAAGCAGTGCCAATCCATGATCCTCATACTGGGACCAAACACTGCTTCCAAGTTTTCAGTGGTGGTCTATCTAAGTCAAGTTCGTGATTCGAACAGTGAAAGTTCTTCAGTCTCTACAAATCCCATCATATTAATAGTTCTTCGGTGCTGATCAAGCTTCAATGTGTCCATTAGTCTGATTTAATTAATATTGCATTCACTGTCTTGAGCTGTTGAAGGTTATCGACCGAATATCCCAAACTTAAATTACTTAACTACGCCTTTTACCCCTCGTGAAGTTCTTCATAATCCATTTAGCCACCGGAAGGAAGAGAAAGGTGGAGAGTAAATAGCCATGTCCGACACTAGTTTTCACTATGCCGCGTATAACCGTTTTGTTGAATGCATATAAATTTGAGAATCTATCACCATTCTCGTTCATTTCTCCCAGTCACTCCATATCGTCCCACGATATTTTGATATCTGGTGTTGTCTGTTTCGACTCTCGCCTTTTCTATTTCTTCTGGTGGCTGAGTGGATTATAAAGACCTCTACATCCCCAAGGAAGCACGGAATGCAATAGACAGCTTGGGTTCAGCTAGACGATTTGGACTTTGCAGATGACCTAGCACTTCTATTCCATACACACCGACAAATACAAGTCAAGACAGTCAGTGTAGCAGAAGCCTCTGCATTAGTATACTTCAGCATACATGTAAGAAAAACCAAGATTCTCAAATACAACACGGAGAACAACCCAATCACACTTGATGGAGAAGCTCTGTAATAGTTGAAAACTTTCACTTACCTGGACGGCATCATCGATGAACAAGGAGCATCTGATACAAATGTAAAGACAAAGATTGGCAAAGCAAGAATAGCATTCCTACAGTCGAACAACATATGGAATTCAAAACAACTATCAACCAACATCAAAGTCACAATCTTCAATATGAACGTCAAGACAGTTCTATTGTACGGAGATGAGACTTCGAAAACGACCACAACCAGGTACAAGTATTTATAAACAATTGTCTACACAAGATACTCAATGTCCGTTGGTCGGACACCATCAGCGACAGCCTACTGTTGGACAGAGCGAACCAGCTGCTTTACACACTAATTGTTTAATAAATAGACATTACAGATACACAAATAGAATCATTCTAAAATACCCTTTTCAAATTCAACATTTCTCCTCTTCCTTGACGATCTGATTTATTATGCGACAACTTCATAATGAATGTGGTGCTTCATTAATGTCCTTCGCTCTCCAACCATGACTTCTAACGGATATAGAATCTTCGATATTAGTCAAGAGAACATTTTGACAGTATATGTATCAGATATATAGGGAGATGTAATTCACCTATCGAGTGGAGGTATATGCACTCGGCTTTTAGCCATGCTATTTATGTAAGTTTATAATGCTCTCCGGCTGGCGAAATCAAAAGTAGATGGGTAGGGTCTCGAACCTGCCGCCTGCTGTCTGAAACTTCGATATCGTCCCATTAAAATGTCTGGTCAATATATCTTACTGGTGTATTTGTTGCAAGTTTTGTCAAGCTGGATAATTATTCAGCGATAAAGTTATGATAAACCGGTTAGAGATAATATATTGCCTTCGATAATCTCTTTTGGAGGTATCTGAAAAGGAAATTGGATTAGAGGTGGTCTTAGTGACCTGGGAGCGTGACCGCAGTGCCCAAGGGACACCTGCTTGAGGTCGGTCACACACGACCTTTTTATGGGTAATTTTTGTGTTAGTTCCGTACTTGTTGAGACCTTACCGCCGGAGACGGATATCCGTGGGATAAGGCGAGGTGTGCATTTTTAGGGTCGACCTTTTCTAACCCCACCCCTCCTTGTGGGAAGGCAGCATCGCTGTCATGCTGGTTGTCTGAAGGAAACACCTTACTGCTGTCACACCTCTGTACAGTCAGCAGTATGACTTCGCCTTCGGACCTTGGGTTTGTTGCTTTTAGTCTTACCGCTCTTCAACCGACTTGTCTGACATGGTAGGACTTTGAGGAACGGTTGTTCCAGCCAGTATAGCTCGGTTGCTTCATCACAATAGGCAAGCCCGACCACCACGTCAAGGTAGCAAGAACGGTCGGGCCTTCGATAATCTTCCTTCAACTATAGACTAAAGATGTGTAAGTTTTGTTGGTTGTTGAAATTTACCATCCAAGTTTGATGGAATTCTTTTAAAATGAAGGCTTTTGTTTGGTTCTATGAAGTTTTGCTCCATTCTGTATTAATATAATTCCTAATATTTTGTTACATTGTATTACATTCCACAGAATCAACACCATCTTATCATTCTTACCTAAACAACGTAGAACAGGACTATTTTCTGCAACTCAAACAACTCGTGTTGAAGATCTCGTAAGAGCTGGTAAGCAAGTTTGTTTTTATGTAATACCGAACTATTTAACCTAAAGCACATGGTTATTTACTTGTATTTATTTTAATAGTTGAGATCATAAGTCAGTCGAAGCTAGACCACTATGGAAAACCTGGAAGCACTTGACGGCTGTTTCGTCCTATTGTGGAACTCTTTATGATCTCAACTATTAAAATTACTATAATATCCACAAAAAACCCCTTCTGGTATTATATTTGTTTGTTTAAACATAAACATTAGTGTAAAATGGCACCAAAATATTTTTCACCACTACATCACCTCCCTACACAATAAGGTAGGATACTTTTTTTGAAAACATTTTGAGAACAATAACTCTTTTCGATTTCTCCGAACCCTACAGTTTTCTTAAAGATCATGCTTCTATTTTATATATTGATTGCAGTCAAGCATTCGGTTCGATTTATTGGTATTTTTTTGCTTCAACAGCGCTTGTTACCACCCATACACAGCAGTCAATAATTCTTTGATTGGTGGTTTGTTCACGAGACATTTTATGGAGTTAGGTTCCTTTGGATCCTAGAGCCCATGTGCACCAATGGTTTGGAATGAGGGTTTTTCAACTCCCCTAGATGGATCCTCCATATCCACCAACACGATTAAAGCACCGGACATTCGCTCTTCGTCCTCTTAATTTCGTAAACAACACCCATGGTGTGAGAAGGCAGTGAGTAGGACTTCCCTGGTAGTGGTTGTATGCAGATGGTCATGTCAGAGCATTTGGAGAGGGAGTCCTGACTTTCCCCACTCTCGGCCGTACTGTGTTGCTTATACTGACTAAATAAACATATTTTTCATAATATAATACATCGATTTAATTCGTAGTAAATCTAGACTTGTGTTGCATTTTATTAACTTAAAACTTACATATTTGTCCCATATCCATCCTATCTTTGATTTAATTCTATAATAACTATACTAACTCCAAGTTATTAAGATGTATAGAGAAATATTTTTATTACTACGTAGTTTCAAATGGTTCATAAACTGATTTTAGTTCATGATAATTATTTCCAAGTTGTTTGAACGGTATGAAACATTACCTTTTAAAAAAATAATAGAACATTTATAGGCCACTAGTATTTGGCCATATATGCCTTCGAAGTATTCTGCGCGTATGTTTCAATCACTGAGTTGGTAGTGCTTAAGTTAAGGTGGTAAATCAGTTAATGGAGTAGGTAGTATATCTGCATCGACTACTGTAGTTAAGCCAAGTATGTTCAACAATTTCCTATCTCAACGAGTGGTGTTTGTTTGTGTAGGAGTGAGTTGGAATAAAGCTAGAGGCAGTCAAATCAAAACATGGCATCAATACATCATGTTAACAACTAGACTGGGTCATATTGGTAGGTGAAGACTACCTGGTTAGGGTCCGCGTGGTAACCGTCGTCAGTGGGTGGGGGACGTTCGGTGACTTGGCTAAGAATCAGTCATAATGGTGTAGATGGATTCATTCTTTGCTCTTATCTAGATACAAACTTTCAAGATCTTACGTCTTTTATTTTTGTATTTATTCGTTTCTGTTACTACTTATGCCGTCAGTACTTCTGCTGCTCTGTGGTTTTGTCCTAACAATTTTATCTCGCTATGTTATTATGGTATGGTAACTTGAACCGATGTATCTGTGTCAGGTTCTACTTTGGGCATATTTTGACAACTGATTTCCTTTCTTGGTAGTTGTGTACATTTTGTTTCAATTTTTCGTTCTTATTGTAATCATAGGACTCCGTAATCCAGTTCGTGTGACCGTGAGTCAACAAACACAGAAAGAATTAGAATGTGCGAATAATCAGTCTCTGCAACAACGCATTCCATCTGCCCTTCAAAATTTCTATACAGTAAGTAAATATGTGTTCTATCCATAACAGGTAAGGCGTTTGTTTGACATATTTGTTAAGTATGTCAAGTTGTCTAACTACACGACTGAGGTGCACGTGAACTCCAAGTTTGAAACAAAGAAGTATCCAGAGGACGGAGTTATTATCAGAATATATATGTAACTTAGTTACAAACCTCAGCTCGTGAGGTATCTATGACAACCAACACGCCTGTATGTATATAAAGGAAATATTTTCTTCAATAATAAAATTAAGATTAATTAAAGCATATAATGGAGCTAATAACATCCGGTAGCTCTGTGTTTAAATCTAATAATGACAATATTAATAATTGAACGGAGACTAGGAGTACAAAACCATGAAAGCTGTAGCGTTTAAACAAGGATTCAAGGAATTCAAAAAAATTAGAAATAACTGTTCCAGGCGTTGAGAGAATGTAATTACAATAATAGAGAATGCTAATGTTACTTGAGAATATTGCAAAACGAATATTCGTCACACTATATGCTCAGAGGTTATAGAAATAAAACTGGCTACTGAATACTAATAAGTAATATAGGGTGATACACAAAAAAGAGTTGAGTGATGAGATAATACAAAAGAACGTAACACTGTTGGGGGGGGGACTTCTTATAATGTCATAACTATTTCCTTGTTAATGTTAAAATGAAAATTTTACTAACATTTTGAGTTTACTCTGAAGAAATATACAAATTGCATCGATGGGAAGATCCAAACAACCAGTATATATTCATTAAAATTCATTCACATGAATATTATTGGTACAAGAGAGCGCCAATATATATGCGCCACACAAAACAATGAAAATTCGAAGAGAAGTACAAAAAAACTAAGGAGCGCAAGAGAAAAAGAGAACAATAACGAAGAGATTGGTGTAAGGTAATGTGCTAGTAATCAGGGAACGCAAAGGTACAATCGGAAGAAATCTTTCAGGTAAGGGAGACAGAACCACTTTTTATGAAGAAAGTAAAAGAAGGTTACAGCAGGATCGCCACTGGCTTCTATTCTGAGCCATATCTGATAACGTCTCTAGCCACTGTGTAGCACCATCTCTCAGACCCCAACTAGGGAGTCGTGAAGGACCAACACAAGCCAGTCCTTTGCAGCTTTCTTTCATACCACGACACCATGTCATATACTGACCACCTCTCCGCTTTCTCCAACCAGTCCCAGAGTCGGCAAATAATGCACGACGTGGAATTCTCTGGGACGACAATCGTAGAACATGTCCAAGCCACCGAAGTCGGTGTTTCAAGATGGTGACACCAATTGGATTATCGTCTCTGTGCCCGAACACACGATGCCGAACCTCTGCATTACTAACATGGTGTTGCCACTGAATGTCAGCAATCCTTCGGAGACAGCGATGATCGAACACAGAGAGTCGGCTAACGTCCTCAACTCGGAGAGACCAGGTTTCACAAGCATAGAGCAAAACTGCTCTCACCGACGCGTTGTAGATCCGACCTTTTACGGCCAGACTAACATCACGAAGGCGCCAAAGGTGGCCCAGATTGGCATAAGCCGCTCTGGCTTTCACTATTCGTGCATTGATATCATCACTCACACCCCCACCAGCACTTATGATACTACCCAGATACACGAACTTCTCGACTACTTCTATCTGCTCACTATCCAGGGTGAGTACAGGATTGAAATCCTGCCAGTCTTGTAGAAGTACTTCGCACTTCGAAGGTGCAAAGCACATACCATACCTACGAACACTGATTGCCAACTGATTAAGTGCGGATTGCATGCCTTGGGCATTATCGCACAGTAAGACAATATCGTCCGCATACTCAAGGTCGAGAAGTCTTTCTCCAGGCAACAGATCCACACCACTATTACTTACATTCATCAGAGCTGTTTCCAGAATGTCATCGATGGCAAAGTTGAAGAGGAATGGTGAGATTGGGCAACCCTGCCTAACCCCACTGCTCGAATGGAACAATGGAGAAAGGTGGTTGTATGCCCTCACTCTGCCTGAGGTGTTTTTATATAGGGCTTTTAGGATATTAATAAACTTCTCAGGCACACCCTTCTTCAATAGACAATCCCAGAGAACAGTCCTGTCCAACGAATCGAAGGCAGCCCTGATGTCAAGAAACACTACGATTGTTGACCTTTGAAAAGTATGACGGTGTTCTAACATTTGCCGGAAGGTGAAGATATGATCAATACATCCTCTACCAGAACGAAACCCAGCCTGCTCCTCGCGAATCAATCTTTCTCGGGTTTTGAACAACCTACGAAGTATGATGGAAGCCAATATCTTGGACGCAATCGGAAGTAGACTTATCCGCCGATAATTGTTACAGGAACGATGTGAACTCTTTTTAAAGATAGGGACAACTATCGACTCATTCCATGACGTTGGTACACTCTCTAGTTCCCAGACTTTTGTAAACAACGTCGTCAGTTCCTCAGTCAAAAAGTCACCACCATCTTTAAAAAGAGCCGGAGGTAAGTCATCTCGGCTAGGTGATTTGTAGCGCTTCAAGAGTTGGAGTTCCTTGCGGACTTCCTCCTCATTTGGTGGATCAGTCGTCACCGGCCATGGAGGGAAGGACAGTCTGACCGATGCTGCCGGAGTAGCAGGCCAGTTGAACTGCTCTTCGAAAAATTCTGCCCATCGTCCAAGACGTCGATGGGTGTTAGTGATTGGCATCCCATCATCCTCACAGATTGTTTCACTCACACCAGACTTCTTGCTGCCAGTGGCTCGGATGAGTTGGGAGAGCTTCCGGTAATTACCAGATGCAGCTGCTGCTTCCAGCTCATTAGCACGCGCCGACCACCAGGCTTCTCGGTCCTTACGTAAGCTTAGCCCAATTGCACTACGTAACAACCTTCGTTTGTGGTCAAACTCACGGTCACCCAGAGTAGACCGACGGGCTTCAATGAGTTGTAAGGAACCGGAAGAAACCCAGTGCTTAAAAGCGGGACGTTTCGCAAACCCACAACTGACTGTTCCCGCCATTTTCATGGCGTCATGCAATTGCAACCAGTGCTCATCTACACTTTTCGGTGGTATGGTAGCTAGCATAGAGGCTAGCTCGGTTCGATACTTATTTGCAACAGGAGTTGCAACCAACTTGCTGACATCAATCCTTTGGTGGCGGTCACTTTGTTGTCCACTGAAAACTAAGGCAAGATTGGCGCAGACCAAGGCATGGTCAGAGTCCAGATAGGTACTCCAAAAGGAGCGGCAGTCTTTTACACAACCACGCCAGCGGTAGCTGATCGCGATGTGATCAATCTGAGTCCAGGCTTGAGATGCAAAGGGAGGACGCCAGGTGGCACATCGGCGATGACTGTGCCGAAAGTTAGTGCTAGCCAGAAACAGGTTGTGGTCTGTGCAAAGTTGCAGTAGACGGTCCCCGTTATCTGTCCTGCGACTAACAAGTCCCCATCGGCCACCTAAACGACCCTCTTCTGTGCCTAGACGCCCGACCTGAGCATTCAAGTCTCCGGCTAGTACTACAATATCTGTCGAACGCACTTTCTGGAGAACAGATAACTGGTGGTAAAACTCATCCTTGATTGCATCCGGGCTGCAATCTGTCGGGGCATAGGCGGAAATGACGAAGAGACATCGTTTCTCACGCCGATTTCTTCTCACTTTGATGGAACTCTCTAATCTAACAGCACATAACCGACTGTTAATGGGGATCCAATCGACTAGTGCTACCTTAGCTCGAGCGCTTAGTTCGACACCAACGCCAGAAAGACCAGACGAAGATGCCACAGGGTCCCCGGATAAGCGCACGTAAAACAAGCTTTTCGAAGCGACAGATGGAGATCGAATTTGTAGTACTTCGCCAGAGTCTTGAATACGGGTCTCAGATAGACAACAAACGTGAATATTAAGATTTTCCAGAGACATAGCCAGCCCTATCTGTTGTCCGGCCTGCATAAATATGCGAACGTTGAAAGGAGCCAGTTTGAATGGTGCACGTGGTTTCAGAAAAACTGCTTCTGTTCTCGTATTCGGTGGTAACATACAATTTTCAACCGGACAGTGACTCGAGAACGTTTAGATACAGTCGGATTTCCACCAAAGACGAGCCGCTGTATAAGTATAACAGAGGGTGAATAATGTGGAAAATAATAATAATAATAATAATAATAATAATAATAATAATAATAATACTTTACTTACTTACTTACGCCTGTTACCCCCAATGGAGCATATGCCGCTGACCAGCATTCTCCAACCCACTCTGTCCTGGGCCTTCTTTTCTAGTTCCATCCAATTCTTGTTCATTTTTCTCATGTCTATCTCCAGTTCTCGGCGTAATGTGTTCTTTGGTCTTCCTCTTTTCCTTTGACCTTCAGGATTCCATGTGAGGGCTTGTCTTGTGACGCAGTTCGGTGCTTTCCTCAATGTGTGTCCTATCCACTTCCAGCGCTTCTTCCTGATTTCTTCCTCCACTGGGATCTGGTTTGTTCTCTCCCACAGTACGTTGTTGCTAATAGTGTCCGGCCAATGGATCTGAAGTATTTTGCGTAGACAACTGTTAATAAACACCTGTGTTTTCTGGATGATGGCTTTTGTAGTTCTCCAGGTTTCTGCCCCATACAGTAGAACTGTCTTGACATTTGTATTGAAAATCCTGACCCTGGTGTTGGTTGACAGTTGCTTTGAGCTCCAGATGTTCTTCAGTTGTAAATATGCTGCTCTTGCTTTGCCGATCCGCGCCTTCGCATCTGCATCAGATCCACCCTGTTCATCAATGATGCTGCCCAAATATGTAAAGGTTTTTACATCTTCCAAATCTTCTCCGTCAATTGTGATTGGATTGGTGCATTCTATGTTGTATCGGAGAATCCTGCTTTTCCCTTTGTGTATGTTGAGACCTACTGCTGCTGAGGCTGCTGCCACGCTGTTTGTCTTCTCCTGCATCTGTTGTTGCGTTTGGGATAGAAGGGCCAGATCGTCTGCGAAGTCTAGATCATCCAACTGCATCTTAGATGTCCATTGTATCCCGCGCTTCCCTTCAGACGTTGATGTCTTCATGATCCAGTCGATCACCAGGAGAAAGAGAAAGGGTGAGAGTAAGCAACCTTGCCTGGCACCGGTTTTTACTTCGAACGACTTTGTCAACTGTCCTCCATGCACAATTTTGCAGTGTAATCCATCATATGAGTTCTGTATGATATTGACTATCTTCTGAGGCACGCCGTAGTGTCGAAGAAGTTTCCATAGTGTTGTTCTGTCCACGCTATCAAATGCCTTTTCGTAGTCAATGAAGTTGATGTAGAGTGATGAATTCCATTCCATTGATTGTTCCACAATGATCCGTAGAGTTGCGATTTGATCTGTACACGATCTATCCTTACGGAATCCCGCCTGTTGGTCACGAAGTTGGGCGTCTACGCAGTCCTTCATCCTGTTTAACAATACTCTGTTGAAAACTTTTCCCGGTATTGAGGGAAGAGTGATGCCTCTGTAGTTATCACACTTGCTAAGATCGCCTTTCTTCGGTATTTTGATTAGAAGTCCTTCTTTCCAGTCTGTTGGTACTTGTTCCTCATCCCAAATCTTATTGAAGAGAATGTGGAGTATCCTTGCAGTTGCCGCTACGTCTGCCTTTAGTGCCTCTGCTGGGATGTTGTCCGGTCCTGCTGCTTTGCCACTCTTGATTTGTCTGATGGCCATGCTGATTTCTTCAATTGTTGGTGGGTCAACATTGATTGGGAGGTCCGTGGGTGCTGCTTCGATGTTGGGTGGGTTCAGTGGCGCTGGTCGATTCAAGAGTTCTTTGAAGCGTTCTATCCACCTGTTTTGTCGCTCTTCAATGTTGGTGATTACCTTGCCTTCCTTGCTTTTCACTGGTCGTTCTGGTTTGCGGCGATTTCCAGAGAGTTTCTTTGTCGTGTCATACAATTGTCTCATGTTTCCTTCTCTTGAAGCCTTTTCCGCCGTCGTTGCTAAATCTTCCACATATTTACGTTTGTCGGTTCTGATGCTCCTCTTCACTTGTTTGTTTATTTCCGTGTATTCAGCTTGTGCCTTAGCTTTTTCTGCTCTTGTTCGGCTGGTATTGATCGCTGCCTTCTTGTTTCTTCTTTCTTGAATCTTATCCAGTGTATCAACAGTGATCCATTCCTTGTGGTGGTGCTTCTTGTGACCCAGGACCTCATGACATGTTGAAGTGATTGCCTCTTTGATCCCCTTCCAGTTGCTCTCCACAGTAGTTCCTTCTCCATTGAGTAGATCATGAAAGGCCTGGAACTTGTTGCTGAGGACTATCTTGAATTTGTTGAGTTTGTTAGTATCCTGGAGAAAGGCCGTATTGAACTTTTGTGATACTGTCTGCCCCGTTGTCCAGTGCTTCTTGAGTTTCAATTTCATCTTGGCGACCAGTAAGTGATGATCTGATGGTATATCAGCTCCTCTCTTGGTTCTCACGTCCTCTATAGTCCTCCTGAACGTTTTGTTGATGCAAATATGGTTGATTTGGTTTTGTGTAGAGTGATCCGGTGAAGTCCATGTGGTTTTGTGTATGCGTTTATGTGGGAATACGGTGCCGCCTATGACCAGCTTATTGAAGGCACATAGATTTGCAAATCTCTCACCATTTTCGTTTCTTTCTCCCAGCCCGTGTCGTCCCATGATGTCTTCATATCCAGTGTTGTCCGTTCCAACCTTGGCGTTGAAATCTCCCATCAGAATGGTCAGGTCCTTTGTTGGGCACTTCTCGACGATTGACTGCAGCCTATTGTAGAATTGATCTTTAGCGTCTTCATTGTAGTCGTTGGTAGGCGCATAGCATTAATAATAATAATAATAATAATAATAATAATAATAATAATAATAATAATAATGACAATAATGGTAATAATAATGATAGTATTAATAATGATTGTTATAATAATAATTGTAATGATAATAATTTGAATCAATTGATTGTTTTTCGAAGCGAGAAAAATAATTTCCATAGACATAAAGAGTTCATCATTTGTGTGTGGGCTGTGATACTGCCCGGGTGCCCAAACCGAAGCAGGTGGTTATCTTAGGGGGCCACTCCCCGAGCCTTTGACCTAAAGGTCTAACCCACAAGGCAGTGGAGCATCGTAAGGAGATGCAATCCCATGGTAGCCGGTGACCAACGATTGGTTCATACGACATTTGTTCCCGCAGGATACTGGAGCCCATGTGCACCACTGGTTTGGAATCCGGTTAAAGCGCCGGACATTCGCTTTTCGTCCTCTCATTTTCGTAAACAACATCCCCGTGGTGTGAGAAGGCAATGAGTAGGACTTCCCTGGCAGAGGCTGTATACGCGTGGCCGTGTGAGAGCATTTCGAGAGGGAGAGCGGACTCTCCCCACTCTCGGCCGTACCAGGGCATTCAGGGGGCAAAATCCATTCTGTCGCACAAGTCATTGGCTATCTGGACTCAGTAGCGAAATGGAAAGCGCAATGGTGTTCGAAGAGGACGGTAATTGATCCGAGTTTTGAGGTGGACACTAACTCCAGGATGCAATTACGTTCGGCCAACGAAACTCCCGTCCTGGATCCCATTGCTTTTCACCACTCATCTCTGTCTAAAAGGTGAAAGATATTTGTCTACTTAACAAAAGTAGAAGACAGATGGGAGCTTAAAAATAGCCTACGAAATAAGAAAGGTCGTTAGAACCATAGTGAAGTAAGAAATTGGACGTATCGCTTCTGGGTAGAAAGATGAAGTTGAAATTGATAAGTTGCCTACACCTTTGCTGTTCATAAATTTCTTATCCAGCTGCTCCTTTTAAGATCAGTTCGTTTGATTTTGCAACCGGTTTTGAATGAAGATTCGGGTAGAAATAGGATGACCAGTTGTTCAATAATATAACTTCTGACTAATTTGCACTTACTGTTAGATATGACCATACTGAATAGTATTCCAATATATTCTTGAAAAGATCACACTCTGTCCCGCCAATGTAGCGTATTGCGCGAGAGTATTTCAACTGACTATAGATAGATATTAAAATGACTGAAGTTGACCATTTTTGTCTTTTACATATCCCTATATAAGGTATATGCTTAGGGGATTACAATTTATAGCTTATTATTTATTGGCTTGTACATTTATTGACTTTTATGATTGTGAGCCATGTCGATATGTACAGACTATCTAGTTGAGGTCAGTGAGATTATCGTGAAGAATGTGGTTTGAAACACTGGCTAACATGACTCAGAATTGGTCACATAGGCACTGATTCGTCGATTTGTTGTCTTTCATTACACCATGAGTTTTTCAAAATTACTCTTCGTACCTTTTATTCCATGAATTCTTACTTTCTTCTCAAATCATATAATCTATACCTAATATTTTCTTCTATAACTGTGATACAGTTATTACTCCTACTACTTTGACATCTCAATGCGCTGATATGATAGGACGCCTTGAACTAATGCGAATATGTCCCAGTTTCTACATCGCATATCACTTGCTAAATAGCTGACTTTACCCATAGAAATCATCTACTTGGTCATGATGATTTTGTAAGGTGATGGTTGAAAGTAGTCAGCAAGAAACCATGGACCAGTGTTTCGTGCTACTTGGCATTCGTTAGCAAGCTGTACCTGTAATCTTAGAGGAACTAATGCTTTTTGGGGGATTCGATCGCGTGTCACCTATCATGAAAGATAGGATTCGGTCTGCACTAAGAAGAACTTGACATACATGACATTAATCACTGCTCGGTGATGAAACAATTGTAAATGTTTTTCATTTATTCATCTGAACACATAAATATAGATACAGGGAGGCACCAAATATATATGTGCAACACTTATCGTTCGATTTTTGTGAGGGATGGGGTACTTCCCTGGTTCTCAAACCGAATCAGGTAGTTTTCTTTGGGGGCCACTCCTCGAGCCCTTGATCTAAAGGTCTAATACACAAGACAGTCGAGCAACGTCAGGAGATGCAGTTCCATGGCAGCTGGCGACCAACAATAGGCTCATACGCCGTTTATTCCCTCAGGATACTGGAGCCCATGTAAACCATTGTTTTGGAACCAGGGTTTTCCAACTTCCATAAGTGAATCCTCCATATCCACCAACCCGGTTAAAGCACCGAGCATTCGCTTTTCACCCCCTCAATTTCGTAAATAACACCCTTTTGCGAGAAGGCAATGAGTAGGACTTCCCTGACAGTGGTTATATACTCGTTGCCATGTGAGAGCATTTGAAGAGGGAGAACTGACTTTCTCCACCCTCGACCGTACCAGGGCATTTTTAGGCACTTGTAAATGTAGTGATTTTCTTTCTGGCATATACACATATACACATTTTGTTTGTTTTTCTTTGGTTTACAGATTGTTGAAACAGATGAGAAAATTTCATTAATTGTACGATTTATTTTAATGCATAGAAAAGAGAAAATCTTAATATTTTTCGCTACATGTGCATGTGTAGATTATTTTTATTGTATACTTAAAGGTTTACTATCATTGAAACAATCAAAACGTATACAAAGATTACATGGAAAATTGAATAAAAAACGATTTGATCTTTTCACAAAATTTAAAAATACACCCAAGTAAGTGTTGTATTAATGAGTTAAAGTGGTACAATAAAAAATGGTCTAATATTCACTTTTGTGTTTTGATCAGTCTACATGATAAGATTTCTAGCTTATTGTTATCAATTTCAAATGTGTTAATTGATGATATCTACAGATACACACTCACACTTAGTTCACCATGTTTATTTATTTTAACACATAGATATTGACACAAGGAGGCACCAAATACATATGCGCCACACAAATCTCATTCGATATGTGTGAGGGCTGTGATACTGCCCGGTTGCCCAAACCGAAGCAGGTGGTTTTCTTAGGGGGCCACTCCCCGAGCCTTTGACCTGAAGGTGTGATTCACAAAGCAGTGGAGCATCGTAAGGAGATGCAGTCCCATGGTAACCGGTGACCAACGATTGGTTCCCTCAGGATACTGGAGCCCATGAACATTATTGTTTTGGGATCCGGATAAAACGCAGGACATTCGGTTTTCGTCCTCTCATTTTCGTAAACAACACTCCTGTGGTGAGAGAAGGCAATGAGTAGGACTTTCTTGGCAGAGTCTATACACGCGTGACCATCTGAGAGCGAACTCTCCCCACTCTCGGCCCTATCAAGGCACTTGGGGGCAGTCCACCATGTAAACAGTAATACCAACACGTATTGATCTGTTAGTAAATTTTTAAAATTTTCTTCAATGGTTTCTAATTTTAATTTGTTTACAGTTGATTTCGTTCCTTCTCATGTGTTAATTTTTATTTATCAGTATAGGGTTGTGGAGATTTCTTTTTATTGAGATCATGAGCCGATTGATAATCTCGCGAGCGGGATCGTAAGTGCGCACTTCTGAGGAGTTCCATAAGAGAACGAAATGGCCGTCCAGTGCTTCCAGGTTTTCAATGGTTGTCTAACATCAATCGGTTCATGATCTCGATCAATTTTTTTTATTTAGTTTGATTTTCTCAGTTTGTGATCATTTTAGTTAAGTATCTAGTATCTAGTTATGGTAACTACAGATTATAGGATTTTGAAATGTTGTGAAGATTACTGAGTTTCATTGAAATCACGAACCGATCTTATCCAGACCACCATTTTAGACCTGGAAACACAGGATAAACTTTTCATCCTACTATAGGACTACTTAGCAGTGTGCTTCCACGATCCCACACTCCGGACTCGAACCCACGATGGCCGTCCAGTGCTTCCAGGATTTTAATGGTGGTCTAACATAGATCAATTCATAATTTCAATGGACAGTATATGTTAGTGTAGAGTCATGACGAACATCGAATTGGAAAAAGTTTTTGCGCTATATTCCTTCATTTTGTTTCCCTCTTTCAATAACAATATTGACCGATTACATTATTCTTAAAATTATTGATATTATCGAGTGACATGTTTTACGAGTATGCAAAGGGGGAAGGTGTGATATCTGTTCATCGATGCTGAGGTGGGTGTAGATAGTAAATTTCTAACTATAATTGTTTCGATGTTATTCTAAATTAACAACTATAAGCAGAAATGAATGGTGTTTGAGAGTGAGATTCAAGACGCGCGTTTGTTCCTATTTGGGAGTCATCAGTTGGATGAGAAGAATTAAACAACTCATCCGAATGAATTAAATGAATGACTGTTTATAAGTCAGCTAGAAATTTGTTGTTTTTCTCTCTTTATTTTAGCGGAATATTATTGTGTACTGATGTAATGGCTCGAGGTATAGATGTACCACATATTGATTGGGTTATTCAGTGTGATCCACCAACAAATGCAAAGTAGGCTTACAATAGAATTTCTAATGTAGTCGTTTTTTTTCTTGAAAGTTAAATTTCCTTATTTGTTACAAAGATATAAGTAGTTTTCCCTTTGATATGATGAGCAAGGGTTCTACTGAATAGTCAAATGGAGGAATGAGCGACCTACAAACTCATTTCCTCCAGTCACATATGACATTTAATCATGTTATTTCTGTGTTAATATATTCTTGGCATGAATATATCATTTTTTATTATTTTGAACACTAGTTAAATGGTCTTATCCATGATCCTAAATTATTCAGTGACTTTATTTAATAGTTCCATTCTGTGGTCAGCTATTACTCGACCATAAATCGTATCATTCCATATGGTCTGTCGATTGATTAACATACTTCTTTTCTATTTTATCATAAAATCTTCCCTCATAATTATCTCTATCAATACATTATCGATCTGTTCTAAGTATAGTTCAATACTCTGTCAGCCTCAATACGTTAACATTCAGTAGAATACAATGTAAAGTATCCTGGTTCCTGATTTGATTTGTTTAAGATTGTTAGTGTTATGATGTGCATTGCCCGAGTGTGTTACTGGTACACAAACGTCCTATATGCGAAACCCTAATTGGTTACTAAATAAGACTAATGGTGAAAACGAAAGTTTGTTTGGCTAAACTGTATTCAATACGTAGGCACTCATATATATTTATAATCCAAAGGATTGTTGAGCAACATCAGAAGATGCTATCACACGGTAATTGGTAACCAATAATAAATCCAAACGCTATTCTTTTCTTGAGGATGCTGTAGCCTATGTTCACTTTTATTTTGGGATCAGGGTTTGACTCTTTCTTAAAGGATTTTTTTATATCTTTATCAAACCCAATCTAACCTGCAGACTTTCACATTTTACTGTTCCATTCTCGCAAACAGTACTCCCACCGCTTGAGAAGATTTTGATCTTTCACGTTGCAAGGCTCATCACCCTAAATTTACAGTATCAATATTATCATTTATCAATCAAAATTGTGAAAATTCTTTACCATTTTGTCAAATTGTTTTCATGTAAACTTTATTTACTAATTTAATATATTTTAAATTTCAGTGAATTTGTTCATCGTTGTGGTCGAACCGCTAGATGTGGACTTGAAGGCAATGCTTTATTGTTTGTTACTTCTCAAGAAGCTGCATATATCAATTTCCTTCATATTAACCAACAAGTATATATTGAATATATATTTTATGCATTTTTTTGTACTATTATGATTGAAGACATAATGTAAAGTGGAGGTGACTTAATGGTTAAGTCGTTCAACTTTCAACCATTAGGTGGTGGTGGTCTCCTGTTCGAAATCCTGACTCAACTACTTCATTCAGAAAACATTGTTGATTATATACTAGATCATTCGATCAAGTATAGATTATTATTATCTTCTTACTTATGTGTTCTAAATAAGTTCATCTACTGTGGTTTGTACAGTAAATCACAATGTCTAATTTTTTCACTTGGTTTTGGTTCATAGCCTATGACAAAACTATGAAATAGTGATTCAGTGCTTAAGATTTTCGACTTTTGACTTAATACTTGGTTGTATGTTTAAATCCCACTTCACCTGCATACAACAACTACCAGGGAAGTCCTACTCACCATTTTCTCGCAACACGGGGGATTGTTGACGAAATTCAGAGGACAAAAAGCAAATGTCCGGTGCTTTAACCGGGTTGGTGAATATGGAGAGTCCACCTAGGGGAGTTGAAAAACCCCTATTCCAAACCAATGGTGTACATGGGCTCTAGTATCCTGAGGGAATAAATGGTGTATGAACCAATCGTTGGTCACCGGTTACCATGGGACTGCATCTCCTCACGATGCTTCATTGCCTTGTGGATCAGACCTTTAGGTCGAAGACTCGGGGTGTGGTTCCCTAAACAAACCATCTGCTTCGGTCTGGGCCCCTGGACAGTATCACAGTCCTCACACAAATGGAATGATTTATGTGGCGCATTTGGTGCCTCCTTGTACCAACGTTTATGTGATTAAATAAAATAATAAAGAAATAAATGCTTCAAAGTTACATTCTTTCACGGATATTTGCGTTCTCCAGTCTTAGTTATTGATTTATATCATAAAACTGTATATGAGATTCTTTCATAAAGATAAATTGTTTCCGTTACAACTTATAGGTTTTTTTTGTCGGAACAATTCTATAATTTTTCTACTAAGATTTGTCTGCCGTGCGCTTACTATTTCTTCTACAACCTAATAGTTTTTCAGACTTGACTAGTTATTCACTTGACCAACAGTGTTGACCTCGATTCGACGCAAGATAAAGTCTTAACGATCCGCTATTCATAAGCTTTTCTCTATCCCCTGTCTTGAGTACAAAAAGTCAGTAACCAGTTTCTATTATTATTATTATTATCATATTTGAAACATGGATTTATAAACAAACATACTGAATCACATTGCACGGTTGATATATAAACAAGCCAAAAGTGTCTGTGAATAGGGAAAACTATGAATAATCGATTGACAACGAAATAGGAATTATATACAGTACAATAGTAGTAAATATGTTCAATGGAAGCTCAAGATAAACACAATATATAAATATAATAATCCAGTTACTTATTAATTATATAATATAAATAATTTGTGGATTGGTTGAAGTTAGACATTAACACAGTTGGATACCGACCGGCTCAGTGGTCTAGAGGTTAAGCGTTTGCGCATGAGACTGAAGGCCCTGGGTTCGAATCCCGCGGGCGAGATCATGGATGCGCACTTCTGAATAATCCCACAATAGAACAAAATAGCCGTCCAGTGCTTCCAGTTTCTCAATAGTGATCTAACATTAATCGGTTGATGATCTCAATCAAAAAATATAAATAATAGTTCGAAACTCAGTTCCAACTTTTACAATATTCATCCTATCATAACATATTATTTTATAGAGATATCTTTACATGGATATATATTTATTTTCGATGAAAATTTATCAGGTAAATTTATTACATATGGAACGCGATGAACTTAATCAACATATAGCTCCGTTGACTACAGTCGATACGATTGATTCTATCACTGAACGAATTCGAAATCTTTGTAAAAAAGACAAGTAAGTACATTCATATTTTCAGGCATTTTCAGTCGTAACCTTAATAGATCAATAATGTGGGTTTTTTTTAAAAATTCTCAGAAGGGTTTTTTTCATAAAGTTGTTGGCAAGGTGTACCTAATATCTTGAAGAAACTAATACCATCGATGGGATCTGAAGCTGCGCTGTGAATGTGGGAGGCTGTAATTAATAGACTGGGCGTAAGTTTTGTCGCAGGATGATGAGCACTATTTGGTGCAACTGTATTCACTATACTGCTCGATTGGTTTTCTGTTTCTTCGTGGGTGGGTACTGCAGCAATTTCATGAGCATTTAACAAGACATCGTCTTTCTGTGAGATGGACAAGTCACTGTTTGTACATTGTGTTTCAGGGATAACTGGATTTGAATCCAATAAAGGGCATGTTTTTGAAATGGACCTTACTGGACCACTGAACGGATCATGTATGACTGCTACTGTTTCGTTTAAGTTACTGCTCATCAAGGATTCATGGAGGCTTTTGTTGACACATTCATTCATTCTGCAATCATTTTGCAGCTTTGTACGCAATTTAGAAATTAATTAATTCACCGTCTTAATGATGATACTCTTACTTTTCAGAAGTAATCTTATGAGTCTTTGAGCATTTGACTTGACTAGAGTCGTATCTGAACCACTATTCAAAAAGACACATCTACAAACCTCTTGGTTCCTTAGGCTTTAAAACGTATAGGAATTAGACCCAGAAACACACACTCTTTTGGCGGTTCTATCTACACACAATGGCTTTCTTTTAATTGCCTACTCGAGGAATCTCAGAATTTTGTGGGTTTATGCAGCAATAAGTGATACCGATCTTTTCATGCTGCAACATTACACATGGAACGACCTTTACGATGTAATCTGTAGCCTTTTCTAAGACAAAAAAAACAGAAACCTTTCTCCCTTGCCGTTGACTGCTAACCACGAGAATCAGGAACATTTCTCAGTTACTTGATTTTTTCCTTATACTACACATGTTGGCCTGATATCAATTTTATCAAACATAGCTGTTGTGTGTAACAAGCTGCCTTGCTCAAATGTAGTCTGATGCTTGTCACAATTATCTTAAATCTACCAAGTAACATTCCTGCACAAGAAGATGTGAATAATGTCAACTCGGCAAATGTAGGTGTGTCATACGGTTTACCTACTCTGGCCCTATTTATTGTGATTTACACATCAAGAGTTTCTTCAAAAATTTTACTTCGTCTATGTTGATATTTTCTTTTATTTAAAAGACTATTACATGAGAAAGCAATACGTGCATTTGTATCGTATGTTCAATTTTATCGAAAACACGAATGCAATTTACTACTGAATTATAAAAGTAAGTAATTGATGTATTCTTATTTTAAGTATAATCAATAATAGCATTCTTTCAGAACAAAAATTATCCTAAATTGATTAGACTCTCTATTCTTAATCACTTTTTTCTTGTTTTCGTTATCTTGACTATTTCTATACTGAATCTATAGGCTTAATGTTCTCTTACATAATACTCATTTGGAACGGTGGCTCAGTGGTTAGAAGGTTCTATGTCCGATCTGTTAATCTGAAGTTCGAACCACGTTTTGTCTAAGTCGGTCTATTCTGTTTGGTAGTATTATAAGCCTACACACTTAAATTGTAGCTGAGATTAAATTATATATATGGTAAGTAGGTTGATATATAACCCATTCCTTCAAAGAATTCTATTCTGGCGGTAATTAAACTAATTGCTTTTATTAAAGTAGGATGTTTCAGTCTAGAAATGATCTGTCTTTAAAAAACACAAGAAAACATAATTATTTATCCAACAGATAAGAGTTTTATTTGTTGAGCTTGTTTGTAATTAAATTTCGTGTTCAAAAGTAAATGGTTGCATGGGAATCGGAAGTATGGGGAACCACTGTTACTCCTAATTCTCATGGACTAACGATTACTTTCTCAAGTGTTTTCTCAAATCCCGTTACATTCAAAAGTCTATATTTGTTATCGTTTCGATAAGTCACAATATTCTTTAATGACACTTCGAATTCCAAGCTAATATGTGTTTCCTTTCTTATCTTGTCACTGACTACTGCAAAATACAAATATTTCAGGATAACCATTGACAAATAAGAAGCACTAAAGTGTTTCGTCCTAGTATGTGACTTCAGTACTCAGACTAAGCTCAGGATCTTCATTTTCTACACGAACGCTTAAGTGTTAGGCCACTGAGATGAAATCCGATGATGTACATGTCTACTTTCAAAAAATGCACGATTTTGTGTGACCATCTGTCATCGTTTCCTTGGAGTAACTTTCATACCCGACACGGTTGAACCTCACTGGTCATAGCTATTCACTAAAATTCCAGAATTTCCTCTTAAAATTAGTCTGGTGAAAATATGATAATTATCGGCATAGTGGTTTAATGTAGATTATTAAATGTTTTTGAGATCATATTTTTTTCATCCAATCGTTACATTTACTTGTCCATGTGGTTTTAATTTGTGTTTTTTTGCTTAATTAGAATTGGATTATGGTCGATTAGCCAACGGTTTTGGACTTTTAAAACTCCCATCTATGCCAGAATTACGAACTGGTAATGTTAGTTCATTTAATCCATCAAATGTAGATATATCAAAATTAACTTATCGGTATGTTACACATGCCAATTTTCTTTTTTTATATTTTCTTGTTTGTTTTTTTGTTTTGTTAAACGGTTGGCCAAGTCTGACACTAATATATATGCGAGCCCAACCAGCTACTCGCGTGACGAAACCAAGATTCAGTAGAACTCTTTTATTGGTTATTTTTTATTTATTTATTTGAACACATAAACATTGGTACAAAGGGGCACCCGATACATATGCACTACATCGTGAAATAATTGTCATCTCATCAGATTTGTATGAGGGCTGTGATACTGCCCGGGTGCCCAGACCGAAGCAGGTGGTTTGCTTAGGGGGCCACACCCCGAGCATTTGACCTAAAGGTCTGATCCACAAGACAGTGAAGCAACGTGAGGAGATGCAGTCCCATGGTAACTGGTGACCAACGATTGGTTCATACACCATTTATTCCCTCAGGATACTAGAGCCCATGTACACCATTGGTTTGGAATGAGGGTTTTTCAACTCCCCTAGATAAATTCTCCATATCCACCAACCCGGTTAAATCACGGGACATTTGCTTTTTGTCCTCCGAATTTCATCAACAACACCCCCGTGTTGCAAGAAGGTGGTGAGTAGGACTTCTCTAGTAGAGGCTATATACGCGTGGTCATGTGAGAGCATTTCGAGAGGGAGAGTGGGCTCTCCCCACTTTCGGCATTTGGGGGCATTTATTGGTTAACTATAATTAAGATATGGTACACAAATTCATTCATTAGTATAGATATATATCTGAAGAAATTAAGTCAGATTTTCAACCAATAGCATATATCCATGTACCTCGAATAACTGAGCATAATCTTGACCAATGGCATACATCTGTCAGCATCTCTCACTTGTCCTTCGACTGATCCAGCCTATAACCTCTCCTTCCCAAAAAATATAGATCTGACACCTTGAACCCAATTGCAGGAATTCCGATGTGGGATATAACATATTTGACGAACTATTTCTAAATATTCATAATCACACCACATTTTTCCTAAGTGAAATTCTTACACTGAATGAAAATGATCATTTTAGTGCCTTTTGAATGTACAGTATACTATGACCGAAGCGCACGTGTTTGTGCCTAAAAAACCTATATTCTGCTTGTTGGTTTTGTCATATGATTTTAGCCAGCGGCCATGGGTTTGAACAGTAACAAATAACATAAATGTATTCATTCTTGTGTATCATAGAATATGGATCATTTATTGTCCAGAAATACGACTCACTAAAATCTAACTGTTCTAAGTACATAATACTCAGAGAAAACTATAAAATGTCTTGAAAGGAGAGTGTGTCAGCAAATAAAGACATCATCACACTATATACTACTTCGATTTCTTGTATTAGATAATCATCAGTTTAGTATGTTTGATAATCGTAATTTTAATAAAGTTCCATTCTTCAAATCGAATGAGGTAGTTTAATCATGAAGCTTTCATCATCCTTCTGGACTATATCTAGAATCATGTCAAAGGAGGGAAGATAATAAAAATGACAGGATCTTAACGTCGACCGAGAATATATCAGTTATATACAGAAAAATCTAACTAGATTAGCTCAGCCTAATGTTTACACTAACTACAATGTCCAAAAGGAAGATGAAATGCTTCATAATTAAACTATTCTTTCTCAGAGAACAAAACTCCGTTGAAATCATCCACTTAAACTATAATATTTCTTTATCATCTCAATGATTATTACAGTATTATTTTTTATCCTTTGTCTCCAATATATTTATTTTTGCAACTAAGAATAAGAGATAATGTTAGCAAGACCTAGATTGGATTAAAACATGCTCCTTGCACGATTGCATTGGTGCACACTGATTGGCTAATTCTTATCCTTACCTACTTATTCTTACTTCCATCTACCCTTGTTGTTTGGGATATAAAATTTCTTTCCTGTCCAACCGTGTTCTGATTTGGGGACTTGTCAAGTGAATTGGTGTCCAAGAATATTAAGCAATAGGAATAGCTCGGTTGTAATAAGAAAGAATTATAACAGTGGGCTAATCGATTGAGGTTTCCCCGCGTTGGTTCGAACTCCATCCCTGTCGCCACTATAATTGCTAACTTGAAAAAGTGAATTGTTACATGAGAATTAATGTTTGTTGTAGGTTAAACATTCAATACTATCTATCCTAAGGTGGACTATTTTTTATATTTTTGTAATAAGTCTAGATATCCAGGTTAGGATATTTTTATATTGTTTTTGTTATAATCATTTATTTAATTGATATATGTCTTACCGTTTCGGAATTATCGCTGCTCAACTACTCATGATACATTAAACCTGTCAAAAGTCAACCAACTGTTAAGTGCATGCTATTAGACAACTAGGGTGCTCTAATTTCTAACGGATCTATATGTATATATGATTCAGTTTAGCCACATTTCACTTCTCAATTCCTGTCATTCCTCTCGAGTAACTAGACCATTTCTGAAAAGTGTGCATACCAATACCAACTCACGGACACCACACGTCAGGAATATTCACGTATAATCCCTCTTTGTAACAATTATGATCTAGTTGTATGCTCATCAATTAACATTCCTTATTTTTGATGCTGTATGTTCATGTAATTACTGTATATAATTTTGGGTCAAATAGAGTGAGAGAAACAATACTGCAATTACAATTCGATCAAATGTTTAATGGAAGACTATATTGTGTAAAAAATCATTAATAAGACGTAATAAAGAGGGATGAATGCAAATTAAATAAATCATGTATTGAGGAGATTATCAATGATATTTAATCAATAACAATAACAATAATAGTAATAGTAATAGGACAAACCTGAAGAAGTCCAGACAAGTTTGTTGGACGAAACATTGGAATTATTTCATATTTCAATCACTGAGATTATTTCAAATATAATTTTCACACATAATTAATAATACAAAGATTTGTGAATACAGATAACAGAGACAATTACATTTGACTACGAAAGGTCGTAATTACAATAGTCGAATTGGGTCATTCAATAGCTAAGATTACTATTGATTAATTGGCCTTGAGGTTGGCCAGGGGAGGAGAAGCGGTTGAAGATATTTCTTTTGTATGCGTAGCTCAGGTCTCTACATTCGGATGGCTACTGCTTCAGTCGTTTGAAGGACTTTAAGTCTGACAAGCGTTGGCAAAATATTACTGACCCGATAAATAATTGAAAAGGATTGGTTTATACTGGCATTAGATCAAAGATCAGTTACTGAAAGATCTGGAAAATCAAACAGCCGAAAGCCAATTTCCAACTGACTCTAAAGATATGTACATAATTTCTCAATTGTCGAACTAGATAAAGAAAAACTAGAGGTATTATCCTTAGGTCTAGAATTTTGTGATACTCGTAGTAACTGTAACCACATCGATACAGACATACAGTTCGAGAATCTTTATAGTTAGACACGTGATTTAGTTGTGAATTCTGATCAGCAATTAGAACATTTTAAATCAACACTTTTAGACTGCTGTTACCAATATAAGAACGATAAATTTAGTTGCAAAAGCATTCTTATGAAGAAGCACAAGGAAGCTATTAACCTACTTCTCAAGGATGTGACGTTATTGATTACAAAACCTGACAAAGGTTCAGGTGTTGTTCTTCTTAATAAAAGTGATTATATTGAAAAAATGAGTACAATCTTAAATGACAAATTAAGGTTTCAAAAAATAACTGACCAGAACGATTTGAATAATAAGATAGAGAAAGAGCTTACCAGATCTTTGAAGAAGCTTAGGGACCAACAGGTTATTTCATCGGGTTTATATGAAATGATTAAACCAGTGGGAACCTATCTGCCGAGATTGTATGGATTGCCAAAGGTACACAAATCGGGGACCCTATTAAGACCTATTATAGATATGTACAACTCTCCTTACCATACTGTTGTGTTCGGTCGTCGCTGATTGTTGTGCCGGAAAAGCGTTGATCACTTATACTCGGAACGAGAGACCGCTGCAATTCCCACGATGCGAAAGTAAGAACACAAGTCTGGTATAAGTGATGATTTATTAGCTCCAAAACACGACGACGAACGATGATCAAAATAGTCTAAAATACACTGGTTTAGATATTGATTTTACACCCCATTTTTATTAATAATTAGGATTAAATCACATACTCAGTTATAACAAATAATAGTTCATGTCAATGGAATACAAGAATATCGTATATTATACAAAAGAAAACAAACACTACAGTGGATGATCATCACATTGAATTAGAAGAGAAGTAATGTTGAACAAAACTCATGATAAGTAAATTAATCGAAAATTGATTTTTCTTTCCATCATATCACATACTATAGCTAAATGGTTAGTAACTGTATTGAAACCTCTCCACGAAAAGCTTGTAATATATAGTGTTAATGATGTGTTCCAATTTGTTGATAAAATCAAAAATGAAAATACTTTTGAACTAAAGATGACGTCATTGGATGTAACATCGTTATTTACAAACGTCCCATTCATAAAGACTGTAAAATATGTAGATGAACAGCTGATTGAAAATGAAATTGAAACTACAGTTCCTATTAATGTCGTGAAAGAGTTATTACTCAAATGTACCATGAATGTGGATTTCAAGTTCAACGGTGAAATATATAGACAAACAGATAGTGTTGTAATGGGTTCACCACTAGGCCCTATACTAGCTGATATTTTTCTAGCCAAATTAGAAAATGGTCCACTAAAAAAGATTATTCAAAACTTCACATTTTACTGTAGATACATGGATGACACGTTCATCCTCTGTAAAGATAATATGTCGCCGCAAGAGGTCATTCAGTTTACATCTAAAGAAGAGAGTGATGGCCGAATAGCCTTTTTGGACGTTCTCTTGACTAAGAAAGCGGATGGATCATTAAAAAGGAATTTAAACAGAAAAATACCTGGAATGAGCATTATACGCATTTCCTTAGCTTTGTACCTCCACAGTACAAACGAAACCTGATCAAAACCCTTAGTTACGGAATACGCACTATATGTTCTACGGATATAATTGAATATGAGCTTAACACCTTGCATAATACTCTTAGGGAGAATGGTTACCCTGGAAAGCTTATAATTAAATATATGGTCATGAAGGTGAAAAAGAAGTCCCTGTTCATGCGTCTACAATTTAGAGGAGAATGTGGCTAGCGAAATATTAACTCAGAGATTACGCAGAGCAATACAAAAATCTTTCAACTCCGGAGAACTACGATTAGTGTTCTCTACGCGGCCAATGGTGACACCGAGGCTAAAAGATGAATTACCTAGAATGACCACTGTTATATCCTTGCGAAGATTCAATTACGAGTAACTTCTGAGAATTATTGGTGGACTAATATTATCTATATATCCCTTATTACAAGCCTCATTTTGACCTATAGATTACTATTATTATACGATTTACTGTTCTTAAGCTATGTTCAGTTTATTGATGATTACAGTCTCTCAAGTTCACAGCCACTTTCGACTTTATTTTGTATAAATGTTATTTCCTATTTTATGGTGTGATGCGGTCTGTCTGTCTGGTAAATAAACCAGTTATTTCTGAAATAAATGATTCGCATAATGGAAGCTGTTCTGGACTTGAGTGGACGGGCTAGGCGAGCAAAGGACCAATAAGGATGCTAGACTGATCAGATCGGTCGAGAGTCACAGGTTTAGTACAGTACAAGAGTGAATAAGTGGTATTTCGATTGGCGAAGAGATTACGTGATAAAAAGCCGAACTTAAAGTCACAACAACTACCTCATTTTGTATTTATCAGTTCGACTGTTTATGTGGAGCGAGTTATATTGGTCGAATTTCTATGAATTTACATTTTCGTGCTCGCGAACACCTCCCAGCGTGGTTAAGCAAAAGTCTGGTGAAGAAAGTGAACAGCTCGATTTTTGACCCATTTAGTGCAAACTGGTCATAGTGCCAGTATAAAACAATCCTTTTCAATTATTTATCGGGTCAGTAATATTTTGCCAACGCTTGTCAGACTTAAAGTCCTTCAAACGACTGAAGCAGTAGCCATCCGAATGTAGAGACCTGAGCTACGCATACAAAAGAAATATCTTCAACCGCTTCTCCTCCCCTGGCCAACCTCAAGGCCAATTAATCAATAGTAATCTTAGCTATCGAATGACCCAATTCGACTATTGTAATTACGACCTTTCGTAGTCAAATGTAATTGTCTCTGTTATCTGTATTCACAAATCTTTGTATTATTAATTGTGTGAAAATTATATTAGAAATAATCTCAGTGATTGAAATATGAAATAATTCCAATGTTTCGTCCAACAAACTTGTCTGGACTTCTTCAGGTTTGTCCTATTACTATTACTATTATTGTTATTGCTATTGATTAAATATCATTGATAATCTCCTCAATACATGATTTATTTAATTTGCATTCATCCCTCTTTATTACGTCTTATTAATGATTTTTTACACAATATAGTCTTCCATTAAACATTTGATCGAATTGTAATTGCAGTACTATTTCTTTCATACTATCTGATCCATATTTATTCCGATGCTGTACCTTAAATTTTCACTTAATATATTAGTGATGTTGTAGTGAAGAGAATAGTATTAGTGATCAAAATTGCAGTACTTGTTAATACAATGTCGGAATCATCTAGTAATTACTTAATTTGCAAAATGTGTATCAATTGTATGACGATGACTCAAACTTCTTTATTCTTGCATTTTTAATCAAATTACATTCTGTTTCCATTCTTAACTGTTGTATCCTCTTGTCCTTCTTCTGCCACATTTTCCGTTCACGACTTACGTTATGGACTACTTATGTCGATATAAGTAGCACACATCACAATTTTAGTTAACATTTGATATCTGTCATGTTAACATTAACTATTTTACTATTCATAATTTTTTTGAGTCGGGGTTTATAGTTCATCTTTCCAATCGATGATTGAGATAGAAAAATCTAGATCGACCAATTATTGTGTCCCAGTGATATAAAGATGAAACTCATTTGATCAAATGGAAATAAAGCGAATATATTATTAGTAAATAGCATTATCGAGTTACTTGGTCATTTAGCGCTAATAAAAATATTCACAATGCACAGTAGTCTTAGTTGAAAGACTTCTCAATTAATCAAATCTATTAACATGTTCTTCATTTCGTTAATCTGTAATTTTTTCTCACTTAAATACCTGATGAAAACATAAACTTTACAATCTTCACCTTGTTGTGCTAATGAGGTGTGGTAACTTGGACCGACGCATACATGTGCCTGGTCCTACGTTGCTCCTGACTGACTGACTGACTAACCTTATCTTTTTATTTTCCAAGAAATATACATTGTTTATTCTACGAATACAAGTTTCGTATTAACATAACCTTATTCCAACTAAATAATGGGGAAAAAAGTGAAAATTTGTATTTCTTTATTGTTTATTTCAGGGATAAAAGTGTAGCTAAACAGCGTGAAATAATGCAGTCATCTGATAAAACACATGGAGAAAATAAACCTAAATGGGTTAGTAATATGCGAGCATGTGTTTATTTCTCTTAACTGTTACATAAAATCTATTATTCATTTATTTGCATACGCTTTGTGATAACTTATGGACGCTCACTAATATTACGTGACAGAGCCATTAACCAAAATATTGATTTTCATTACTTCATGAAGGAGTCAACCAACACTAGTAACTTTGAGTGACTGCTAAGTTGATATCGGTTATCAACCCTCCATAGCTCCTCTCTTTGCCCTCCCTATTGAATCCAGAATACAGTATTCATCCTCCGCTCTATGAATAATATATGTCAAACGTACGTAGTTTAGATACAAATAGACCAGATCGCATCACAACCATAAAGTGAAAAATACTAGTTATACAAGTTCAATGAGTCAAAAGTGACTGTTAGTATAGGAGATTGTAACTACGTGATTGAGAATAACGTAAGAATAGGAAATCGTATAACAGTTGTTAATGGGTCAAATGAAAGTAGCTTATGATAAATGCAGTTATAAAGATATGATAATCTGGTTACTGAGTAATTTTGTTAGAAGAGTATATACCATAATAGTTCATAAATTCTTCCCGAAAGTTACCACTGCTTTAAATTTCGTTGGATATATCACTCTGCTGATGTTTTAAAGCCTAAACTTTTGAGCTGTAAGATTTTATGTTTTAGATTTGTTTTAGTTAACTAATTATGTCTGTTGGTAGTGTGTGTGTGTGATTTGCGTGATGTTATTAAAGGATGTACAACTTATCTTAAATCTAATTACTGAAATAATGTAGAAGTACGTTCGCTGTGAATTCGTATGTTTTATGGTAAAACGGCGTAATTTAAATATTTCTATTTATATGCCACGTTATACTACTTTGATACCGTAATGCAAACTGTTAACGAGATTATACTTCCACTAGACTGCATACTCGATCAATACTGTCTACACATACTGGAGTCATGTAGCACTAAATCATTCACAACCAAAAATAGAGAAACAGTTTATGCGCCAGATAAAATTTTATTCAACACAATTACAAGCTTCCAAATGCCATGGTACGGTCGAGAATGAGGATGAGGTTAAGTCAGCTCTACCTCTCAAAAAGGTTCTCACATGGATACGTGGATACAGCCATTGTCAAGGAAGTTCTAGTTACTACCTTCTCTCAATGAGGGTGTTGTTTACGAGATTGAGAGGACGAAAAGTGAAGCTCTGGCGCTTTAACCGGGTTGGTGGACACGGATGGTCCACCTAGAGTAGTAGGGAAACCCTGATTTAGAACCAGTAGTGTACATGGGCTCCAGTATCCTGAGGGAACAAATGGCGTATGAACTTATTGTTGGCCACCGACTACCATGGGACTGCATCTCCCTACGTTGCTCCACTGTTTCGTGGATTAGACCTCTAGGTCAAATTCTTGGAGAGTGTCCTCCTAAGAAAACCATCTTATTCGGATTGGGCTCCCGGTCATTATCCCAGTCCCTACACACTGAATGACAAAGTGTGGAGCATAAATATTTTTTGCCCTTTTGTACCAATGTCCATGTGTTTAAATAGATAACTAACAAACTGTCTACGGTTAATGAGTTCAGAATAGGAAGGAAATTACAAAATAAGCAGTCAGTAGTATGTGTCTAACTCTGCACACTCTGATCAACCACAATTATTTTTGCTAGCTACATGTCATTTTTCTCGTCCGATTACTATAAGATTTATACATCAAATGTACTCACCAATAGATGTCAAAGGAGCAAAAATATTGGTTAACATTTATGAATCAATATGAATGGTATTAGCCAATCACTTAAAGAAAGCATTATTACAATGCTTACTATAATTAAATTTTACAAATAATTATATGAGCTGTGTTATATATTAGTAAAGTTCTTGTCGTTTGGGTACAATTCAAATCTGGATTGCATTCGTAAGGGTAGGTTTTAATAGAAATAGTTGGTTATTAATGATTCCGTACAGATAAGTTTAATAAAGACGGCGTGTTGGTTTTAAGAAAATTAGCTGTTTGCTGAATGTTAAGCTCAAATCTTCACGCTGAACAGTTATTGTAATTGTTAATGCTTATATAATTATGTTGTAGTAAGATTCTATTGACGTCTGGTCCACTGGGCTGATGAGCGTTAGCTACCGAGTTTTTTGATACTACTGAGGTTGGAGAGAGTCTGCTCTCTCTCTCTCTCTCAATACTGTCATAGTCATATCCTTACATACATTGCCAGACAATCCTAGTCCTTACGTCCACGAAATAAGGGTGTTATTTGTGGAAAATAACGAATGGAAAGTAAGTGGAGTTGGTTCATACAGAGGATCCACCTAAGAAGTAGAGTTGGTATAATCTGTTTATGAACTATAGTTGTACATGAGCTCCAGGATTCTCAACTGAAGAATATTATTTGAACATGTTTGTGGTTATGGAATACCGTGTTACTGGATCTCCTGATGTCGCCCCATGGCATTATATATTAAAGCTCCGGGTAAAAATGTTCGATTAGTAGTCTACTAATAGAATCACTTGTTTCGTTGGCATCTTAACCTACATATAAATTCTATTTCATCTGACGATTATTACTGTTTGTTCTCAGTTGTACCAGGTTTTATTCGGATTAAATTAATATACACTGTTTAGTACATTAAAAGAATGTTTTCCTTAGATTATTTATCTAATTATTTAATACTATCATTCTATGTCTTTATCGATCCTGTCGTTACGTGTTTTCTTTACCCTACAGTTAATTAAAAAGGAAAAGAATAAAGCATGGATTGCCAAAAAGAAACGAGCACGTAAAATTAAAGCATTAAAGAAACAACATTTAGTTAATGAATCTTTGCACCCGGAAATCTGTGAAAAGAAGAATAAGGAGATAATAGAAACTAAACAGGAGAATAATGTAAAAGATATTGATGAATTACTTGTCGACTATAGATTATTAAAGAAATCGTATAAGGGGAAGGTATGTAGGTTTGTGTTACATTTAGTAGTTTATTTTCATGTCCATATTATTTAAGAATAAACTACTAATTTATTTCTCAGCACAAGTATCTAACAAGAAATTTTACTTATGAGAAATCGAATAAACTTGTAGGATTCAAGTTTAAGATTGGTATTAATACGCCTACCCAAAGTGTTAGAATAACAGATCTAACCTAAGGTTGTTCACTTAACATGATGGGACGCGATCTCACGCCTAAGTCACTTCACTAACTGTACCGGCTCACCCCATCCTGGTAATTATCTATATTTTTTATAAAAACTTTTGAATAATACAGTTAGGCTGGTGATAGAACAATATATTTATTATAAAGAGAGATTAATAGCAAACAAGCTAGAGAGGTCAATTCATACAATTTTGTTAATTTTCCTCGCATGGACTTTTTTGACCATTATTTTTCATCAAGTTTTCAACGGCCAGTGTAAGTCTTCGAAACTAATGTACTGTTTTATCTAAGGGTGATTTATGGTAACGATTAAGTGTTATTCCATTTTCACTACAAACAACTGTGTGACAACCTTTGTACATCCTGTAAGACTAACAGATATGGTCTGTAAATGTAATTTGAGTAGTTGTACTACAGGTAGTTAAAAATCGTACTTTGATAACTAAAAAAGGGGAACAATTAACAGATGGTGTGTATGCGCACTATTGTAACGGACGCTATTCACGAATAAGTTTGTAAGTAGGGTGAAGCGGAACGTGGCATCGAAGTTGCAACAATTGTCAGACGAAACGAAGAGTTTCAGGGCATCGAAAGCACGACGCTAGCGAAGCACACCGAAAAATGGAAACGGACGATGTGTATTATGTAAGTACTTTGTGACTTCTCACAATGAAGATACATTCCTATTGCCTTATTTTACATTATTTCTGGAAATTTTTATACATTTCAGAAGGGTTTATTATCTAACGGTCGGTAACTATACCCAGTTGCCTCAACCTCTGTTTGTTCGCCTGCATCAGAGTACATGAAATTATTTATTTACACACACGCTTTAAAAGTGATAAGTGTTCGATACCGTGAACAAAAAAATAAAAGATGTCTGTAAACGTATTGTTCGTTTGGGTTGTATAAGAATCAGTATATAGCTTGATATAATAGGTAGATAGGTAGCTTAATTCATTATAGCCAATATAATTGACATAAATAAAAAAAAACTCCATTTCGCTGTAATTATTGATCTTCACTTGATTTGTAGTCGTACTTCTCTTGTTTCTCTTTGCAGTTTCCTACATAATTTTTTATTTGTTTCCACTTGTTCGTTGTTGTTTTTAAATCTACAAACTTGATAGGATTTTGCATTGTGTGTCGGATTTTGCTTTGATGCCCATGGTTATCTAGTCTTGAGTTAATTACCTATTTGTAAATCTACTAATTAAATGATCAAGTTTGTTTTCTAAGCTGTACGATTCGAAATATATCTGTAATAAATTCAAAGTCAATATATAAATTATATGTTTGTCTAGCCCTCCGCCAGACTTGAGGGTTCTGGATCTGATTCTCAGTGAGATCGTAAATGCACACTTTTGTGGTGCCTCAGACTAATCGCCATCCAATGCTTTCTATTTTGTATAGTTATCCAAATAAGTTCTGTTTGTGTTATCAAGCTGTGCAATTTAACAATTCCCAGAAACTTATAGAAGAATAATAATCATGCGATTACTAGTGCCTAGTTTTATGAGGTTATTTTCAAAGTTCCTGTGAAAGTTCGTTATCGATAGAGTTTAACCATGTTGAGTATGTGAGACAGTCGCAATATAGAAGAGAATGTGAGATAATTGTGTAAAATCGCAAATTGCATGCTTATTAGAATTGCAATATAGTCAGTTCTGTTCACTAATTGACTAGATAGTTCTAAGTGTATGGTTATAGTAAATGAAGGATTATGAGTTGTAAGAACTGTGTTATATCTCTGCCTATATAACAAATTTTGGAAATGTTTCTGGACTATTCCCTAATATGCGTAGGCAGTAATGTCATCAGCACTAATTTGAATTTAATAGATATTTTATTTTTGGTATTTGTAGATCAAGGAAAAGTGATTAGTAAATTCTACTGATATACTCGTCATGCCACAAGGAAGAAACAAATTGGAATTTGCCTTTTAAGCCACTAACACCTTTCTGTATATGTTCATTGACTATCAAATACCCAGCCTTCTGTAAATAAAAGAATACTTATACCATATATTAAATGTTAACAAAGACATTTTGGCGTATCTTTATTTTTTATTGTAAGTCTTTTTATACTTCAGGTTTATCCGCGTATCGAGCTTCCGAAAGTCTGAGACTGTGGGGTTCTTGAACCGTCATGAATTTCCTAAATTAGACGGAAAACATTCTAAAATGCTGTAAGGATGTTCAGGTCTATTTCACTCCTGTCTCTACTCTCTCTTCAAGAGTTTATTAGTCAATAGTAGAATACTCTTTGACCAGTGATAAAGTTATTACGTCAAAAAATAATGTGTTAATATATCAATTATAAATTATACGCACAAGAAAAATACACAGGGCGTTACTTAAATCGTCAGAGATTGGCGTGTTTGAATTTCTGTCGGTCCGGTAATACACAATTATAAGTAGTTAATAATTCTAATTACGAGATGCATATCCAGATATAGTATATAAAGAGAATATCACTGAGATAGCAAATATATTAGAGTTCTTGTTGTGACTTTTGCCGGGCTAGCTATCATGTAACTGATTCGCCAATCAGAATACAACCTATGCCATACTAACACCGGCACAACTATGACCTATCGACCGGTATTAGCAACCCAGCGTCCTTATTGGTCATTTTTCTGCCAAGCCCTGTCTGTTAAGTTCAGAACGCCAATAACAACTTCCACTGTGCGAATTATTTATTCCAGGCGTGCTTGGTTTATATACAGGCAAACAAGACCACATCATACCATAATTAAAAAATGACAATTGTACAAGATCGAAACAAAAAGTGGTTATGATCGTGAGAGACTGTAATTATTAAACTGCGGATAGTCTATAGGTCGAAACAAAGCTTATAGTGAGAGTGCCGAATTATGGTCTACTATGATATTAGTACTACTCTAATAATAGACTTAATCCCAAAATTATAGGTTTGTCATGATATGACTGCTTAATCTATGAGATCTTACATGGAAGTATTATTAATATGTACACCAACTCATCGCGTCGTAACAATCATCAATATATGATGAACACGCTAAGGTTAGAAATAGGACATTATGTTTAATATGAATAGAAGATCATGTTACAACACTTAGGAGTGACTACGCCTGCAAGGCCAAGCCATGCCGTCACTCCTGAAAGGTGACCACGAGACAGTCGGAAAATACATTCTCAACATTTAACGCGGATAAATCTCAACGATGGAGAAGGCGGGAGAAATTGATTGGACTGCGTGAATTGGCCCATTATTAGAGTAGTACTAATATCATACTAGACCATAATTCTAAGACTTTTTCAGAAGCATACTTAGAACAGCCATTAGACAAACAAAAAACAGGCGCGTCTCACGTGACCTGGAAGCTCGTAATTTAGACCTGTATGGTACAGTTGAGCTACAAGGGGATTACCTTTTATTCGCCATATCTCTCATAAACCTCCTCATATCAAGATATCACTAAGTCGATTTAGTATTGTGCTGCTCCTGAGAGGACACCCATGGAAAATATAATGCGGATCACTTAACTGTAGAAATCATTACCTGAGGTCATAGTAGCGGAATAGAACTCATTACTACATATCAACTTCCATGGTTATACGAAAGCATTTGATAGTGTGGATAGAAGAACATTAAGGAAGCTTCTATGTAGTACTTCAGAAGGTTGTCAAAATCATACGGAATTTAGACGGAGGATAACAGTGCGAAGTCGTGCATGAAGGAAAGCTGGCAGATGCATTCCACGCAACGACCGGAGTCAGACATGGATCCCTACCTTCTCATTTTCTTTCTCAGGTCGGCTGGATTATGATGACCTCTACATCTCGAAGGAATCACAGGATATAATGGATAGCGTGCGTGCAACTATATAGCACTTTATATTACCGATTACTGGGAAGCAGGAGCGGTTTGAAACAATAACACAACAGTATGGACCTCTAAAGTAAGAACGCGACGTATTGACACAACATATATATATTTGAAAATTAAAAGACGTGGTTTGAGCACTAAAAGGGAAAACTTATTACAAAATTGTTCTATCCACCGTTCTGTAGGTTCAGCTTACGTAGGGCTTGTTACTCACCTTCCAGTAGATTTACTCTTTGTTGCCCTGCAATAAGAAAAACAGAGTCGCGTTAGTAACGTCAAGTGTCATGTTTTTTGCTACTGTTACCACTAGACGATTTGAACTTTGCAGACGACCTAGCCTTTCTATATCATACACACCAACACATTCATGTGAAGACAGCCACTGTAGTAAAAGCCCCTGCATCAGTATGCCTCAGTACATACAAAAACCTGGATCCCAAAATACTACTCGGAGAACACCAAACCAATCGCACTTGATTGACAATCTATGATAGTGGAAATTTTCACGTACATCGTCATCCATGAACAAGGAATATCTGATGCACATGTAAAGGCAAAGATTGGCAAAGGAAGGTCGGCATTCCTACAGTTAAACAACATATTGAACTCAAAACAATTTTCGACCAACATCAAAGACAATCTTCAATACGAACATTTGGACAATTCTATTGTACGGGGCCGAAACTGTTGTACATCACTGGCGTGATAACGCAAGTTTGCAGTCTCGTCGAAACTTATGGGGAGGCAGACATCCTTCCCACTATCCTCACGACCGTCCACACAAACTGATCTTTAAACTGTGGGCAGCAAATAAGAGAGGGATCGCTATATAAGGTAAGCGATGTGATTATCATAGCTTTTATCAAGGCAAACTAAATCACTGGACTATCGTTGCTGCAAACGTTTCCATGCCAATCACCGATTTAAACCTGTTACAACACCATAATCCAAACAAACGGAATCTATGGGACACAAACACTAAACTATCTGTTCTCGAAATTTTATTTTGTTTTTAGTTCATCCCCAGTCACGTTTAAGTATATAATCTATCCACACTTCCAGCAGGTGCTCAACAAGAGACCTGAACTACACAAAATGCGACTAAAACTACCATGTTTAACAATATTCCTTTGGCCGCAGATGACATTATTTCGTCAATCCCTCAAGATTCTTCAAATTTTTGCGCAAATGGTTAGTTAGTATATAAAATTGGTATGTCTGAAATATACGATCCATACAATGGTAGCTGGGATTGCTCTCTTGACTCAACGAACTTGGCTAGATGCGAAGGACCAATAGGGATTCACAGTTTGTACATCACTAACGTAGACGATCTACGTCAAATGATTGGGGTCCGGCTCTAGATAGACGGGAATAATGTGACAAATCAGCTAACTTCGAAGTCACAGGTCGCAGTCATCATCTAATGTGATACTATGGCTGCTTTGAAGACCGTGTAGTACAAACGACGTTATTACAGGAATATATTAGTTAAAATAGGTACAAGTGAAAGTGTGACTATTACTGTATAAGCCAGTCCATGGAGTTAAAATAGTTGATGCGAGTTGGTTGTATCTGACCTTGACGGGGATTGATGAACTGCTCAACATTCAGCAAATCACCACCGGATGACTTGTCTAGGGCTCAGTGATATTTCACTGACCCTTCAAGTTAACATGAGGTTGCCGGTGCTGTTGTAACATGTCAGTGGTTTTTGCAAAAAACAGCGTCATATAATTAAGTGTTCGTAATGGTCGTTTTGTCACGTGAAAATTGATGGGATCAAATTACATAACAGTAGCCTTGTTTCGTATAACTTCCTTGAATTGTTTCAAAGGAGTCTGTAGAACTATGGTCTACTATGATATTAGTACTGCTCTAATTATAGACCTAATCCTAAATTTGTAGGTTTGTCATGACATAACTGCCTAATCTATAAGATCTTACGTGGAAGTCACACCATCGACTACACCAACTCACTATGTCGTATCAATTACCAATACATGATGTAGAACAAGGCTAGGCTAGAGGAAGAACAATATATTTAATATGAATAGAAGATATAAGGAAACATTCGGCAGAGACCACGCCTGCATGGCCGAGTCATGCCACTCGATCAACTCCAGTCAATTCAATTCCTTATTCGCGCCATCTCCATCGTTAGGTATTTCTCCGCGTTAAATATTGAATATCTATTTTCTGAGCAGTCTCGTGTTCACAGCTTTGTGGATTGTGTGGCCATTGTCTAATGCCACTACACTACTCTCCCACCAGAATCAACGTGATGTTGGTTCGATACCAAATTGGATGGGATCGTCACGCGCCGGAGGTTACCAAGGATAATAAGAATCCTCCGGGTATTGTTAAGCTGAAAGATAAATCAAAAAGACGGCAGCATCTGGTCGGGAAATACATGTAATAATCTTAAAATATCTGCTTTCATGATTAACACGCTTAAAATGAAAACTTGGTTGAAGATTATTTGAACTATAAAAAATGGGATTACAATAATAATAATAATAAAACGATGCGTGTTAATAACTTAACTTATAGGTAGTAATTATTTTGTGTTTAGAAATATTAAAATAATCAATATTGTAGAAATGTTAATATTGGTATTAGTTTTGGTTTAATTTATGAAATCAATTTACAATTATGCCGGTAACCTGTCCATATGTGATTTCCAATTGCATCTGTATTAGTAGGCTAACTGAATGAACAAAAGTATTAACGAGGAGAAGAATTCCAACTAGTGTTCCTGTTAGTTTCATACGGTTTATTTAGTTACGGGTAGTTTTTCTCAACCTCATTTTTACTTGACCGTGATAGAATTTAGTAATACTACTAATACACATGAATGGTTATCAAGAATAAATTTAAATACATGAGTGATAATTATATGAATTTTGGACAGATAGCTAGGAACAAATCGTTAAACATGAGTGTATTCGTAAGAGACATGCTCTAGACTCAATGTTCTGAGTTGCCATAGACTATTTATTTATATTTATACCTGACGGCTGATTGGGCATACAAGTTAGTCGCAAGTATGCAGTTTATCATAAGGCGGAATACGATTTAATTGAGATATAGTGGTTATAAGTTATTGAAATCAGTTAGGCCTGTGTCCTATTACTAGGTGATGTGGTGCTGCAGGATGTATTCG